TTAGATATTGACTGGGGCGTGGCTTGGGAGAGCTGACTGTTAGAGTTTCAGGGTGAGCGTTTACACTGTGGAAATCAGCTGAGGCTACAAATCAGGGTTTGATTGATGCTTCTGTTGACTGTCTGGACTTGAGAAAGTGATGCGGAAAATGTTAATAATGCAAACTAAACTTAAAAGTGTACCGTGGATACGTTTTTTTTAAAGACAGCCAGTTTTTAAAAATTTACCAGTAAAACCCTGTGTAGCAGCACTTTAAGGTTTGCAAAGTGTTTTACAAATATTATTTTATTTTGTCCTCACAATCACTCTGGTAGGTAGGTGCTATTATTATCTCTATTTTATAGATATGGAGATTAAGGCAGAGGGAGAGGGCAAATTAAATAATTTTCCCAGGCTCAGCTAGTAAGGGTCCAAGGCTGAATTTGAACCCAGGTCTTCTTGACTCTAGGCCCAATGCTCCATCCGCTGTACTACCTAGTACATAAGTGTGTTATTTACCCCTCCATGTGTCCTTCCTCACTATCCCCACTTCAATAATTTCCTGATAAGAATGGTGCGATTAGCCTAACAGCTCCAAGTTTCACATTTAGCCCTAGGGTAACAATCCACTGTCAGAGCTGGGTGCCTTGTCCTGCCAAGAAGTAAGAAGAGAACTTACCTGCCATTTATCAAGCCAGGCTTTAGTGATTTGACCCAAACTGAAACCATCCTTCACCCAGCAATGTCTCAATCAGTAGTTTGCCAAATTCCAGTTTTTTGTTACTAGTGTTTTATTTTTTTCCAATTACATGTAAAGATAGTTTTCAGCATTCCCTTTTATAAGACTATGAGTTCCAAACTTTTTTCTCCCTCCTTCTCTCCCCTTACCCCTTCCCAAGAAGGCAAGCAATCTGATATAGGTTATATATGTACAATCACACTAAACATATTTCCACATTAGTCATGTTGTGAAACAAGAATCAGAACAAAAGGGAAAAACCAAGAGAAAGAAAAACAATAACAACAAAAAAGGATAAAAATAGTATGCTTTGATCTGCATTCAGACTCCATAGTTCTTTCTTTGGATGTGGATAATATTTTCCATCATAAAGCTTTTGGAATTGTCTTGCTGAGAAGAGCCAAGTCTATCAAAGTTGATCATCACACAATATCGCTGTTATGTGCACAATGTTCTCCTGGTTCTGCTCACTTCACTCAGTGTCAGTTCATGTAAGTCTTTCCAGATTTTTCTGAATCTACCTGTTCATCGTTTCTCAAAGCACAATAGTATTCCATTGCATTCGTGTACCACAACTGGTTCAGCCATTCCCCAATTGATGGGTATCCCCTCTATTCCCAATTCTTTGGCACCACAAAAAAGAGCTGCTCTAAATATTTTTGTACATGTGGATCCTTTTCCCTTTTTTATGATCTCTTTGGGATACAGACCTAGTAGTGGTATTGCTAGAACAAAGGGTTTGCACAATTTTATAGCTGTTTGGGCATAATTCCAAGTTGCTCTCCAGAATTGTTGGATCAGTTCATAACGCCACAAACAATGCATTAGTGTTCCAATTTTTCCATGTCTTCTCCAACACTCATCAATTTCCTTTTCTGTCATATCGGCCAATCTAATAGGTGTGAGGTGGTACCTCAGAGTTGTTTTGATTTGCATTTCTCTAATCAGTAATGATTTAGAGCATTTTTTCATAGGACTACAGATAGCTTCAATTTCTTCATCTGAAAACTTACGGTTCATATCCTTTGACCATTTATCAAATAGGAAATGACTTGTATTCTTATAAATTTCACTCAGTTCTCTATGTATTTTAGAAATGAGGCCTTTATCAGAAACACTGGCAGCAAAAATTGTTTCCCAGCTTTCTACTTTCCTTCAAATCTTGGTTGCATTGGCTTTGTGCAAAAACTTTTACAAATTCCAGGGTTTTTTTTAACTTGAAATACCAATTAGGTGCCTCTACTCCATGCTTTTGAAGTTCTAATCTCTAAATTATTAAAAAAAATAATTATCAACCTTTCCTAATCCCTCTAATCAAATATTGTCTCTCTCTTTTTTGAATCCTTATTTCATTTTGTTTGTGTTGCTCTTATGGCACTTAGCACATTCACCGTTGTTATTTCCTCCTAGCACCTAGAAAAGTGCCTTACTCATGGCCCATGCCAGAAGCCTTAAAGGACATTTCTTAGCAACTAGCTGTGTGATTCTAAGTATGTTAGTTAAACTCTCTGAACCTTAGATTCCTCATTTATAAAAGAGAAATAATAGCAGCATCTCTAACACATCTTATTCTGGGAATCTAATGAGATAATGCATATAAAGGACTTTTGCTGTTCATCATTCATTTCAGTTGTGTTCAACCCTTTGTGACCCCATTTAGGATTGTCTTGGTAAAGATACTAGAGTGGTTTACCTTTTTCTTCTTCAGCTTATTTTACAGATGAGGAAACTGGGGTAGACAGAGTTAAGTTACTTGCCCAAGGTCACACAGCTAGTAAGTGTGTGAGGCCAGATTTGAACTCAGGAGTATGAGTCTTTCTGACTCCAGGTCTATCCATTGTGCCACCTAGCTGCCCTATAAAGGGCTTTATAACCCTTAAATATAAATTCAAACTACTATTAATTTTATTATTGTTTTGGTGGTGGAGTGGGGATTTGATGGTTGATGGAATTGCTCTAAGCAGATAACAGAGGTGGGCAGGTATTGCTGCAAAGATGAAGTGTAAAGATTTGTCTACACCCATCATCCTTTTTTTACTAAGTATGAGGACATTCTCTGATTGACTTCAAAGAACAGCTGATCACTGGTTGGTTGGGTAAAAATTGGTCATACCTTGACAAAACAGGAAAATAATAAATGTTGGAGAAGATGTGGGAAAATTGGAACACTAATGCATTGTTGGTGGAGTTGTGAAATGATCCAACCATTTTGGAGAGCAATTTGGAATTATGTCCAAAGGGTTACAAAAATGTGCATACCCTTTGATCCAGCAATAGCACTTCTAGGACTGTATCCCAAAGAGATCATAAAAATAGGAAAAGGACCCACATGCACAAAAATATTTATAGCAGCCCTTTTTGTGGTAGCAAAGAATTGGAAATTGAGGGGGATGTCCATCAATGGGGGGGAATGCTGAACAAGTTGTGGTATATGAATGTGATGGAATACTATTGTGCTATAAGAAATGATGAGCAGGATGTCAGAAAAACCTGGAAAGACTTGTATGGACTGATGCTGAGTGAAGTGAGCAGAACCAGCAGAATATTATAACAGTAACAGCCACATTGTGCGATGACTAATATTGATAGACTTAACCCTTCTCAGCAATAGAAGGATCTAAGACATCTCCAAAGGCCTCATGATGGAAAATGCTATCCACATCCAAAGAAAGAACTAAGGAGTTTGAATGCAGATCGAAGCATACTATTTGCTTTTTTTTCCCTTTTGTTGTATTTTGTTTCCTCTTTCTGGTGGTTCCTCTTATTGGTTCTAATTCTTCCTTACAACATCACTAATGTAAAAATATGTTTAATAGGAATGTATGTGTATAGCCTATATCAGATTGCTTGCTGTCTTGGGGAGGGAGGTGGGAATGGAGGGGGAGAAAAATTTAAAACTCAAAAGCTTATGGAAGAGATTGTTGATAATTCAAAATAAATTAATTAAATTTAAAAAAATAAAATAACTACAAAAAAATTGGTCATGCCTCAGAAGCCTTTTAAAAAGCCAAGGTTGCCAAGCCATGGAGAGATGGATGGTTACAGAGTTCAGGTCATTTGCTTCAGGGCACAGCTTTGTAGGGTACGACCAGAGGTCAGGGTTCATACTTTACCTGCCCCCTCCATTGGCCCATTGGCTCATCTTGCAGTTGAGCTGCTCAACCAGTAGGAGATAGCATGTCCAGTGGGGAAAAGTTCAGAGTGTCAAAGAGAAGGAAGAGAGATGCACACACTTCAAAGAGAAACAGACACAGACCAGACACTGAGGCACCTTTGAGGGCAGGAGGCAATTTCATGGCGTGTGACCTCTGACAGCTGACAGGAAAGCTGACTGTGGATTCAAAAAAGCGTCACTCTTCTCCGTCTTTTGCTCTGCCTGATTTCAGCTCCACAGAATGAGATGCCTCCTCTAGGTTGAGCTCGTCACTCCTAATATCTTCACCATGCTGCCAACTCAAGCCTCAACTGACACCACCATGGAGGGCTAGAGAGTGGCATCCCAAACTCATCTTTATGCCTCCCTTTGTAGAGGGCAAAACTGGACTGGCCTCAGCTCACTCCACTTTGCATCTGTTGCTCTTCCTTACTTCAACCCATGAAACAAGAAACCCCTTCCCGCTTTCCTGACTCTTCATGTGTATCATCTTTCCTGCTCCTCGAAGGGAGGGATTGTCTTTTTTAAATTAACTGTATCTGACAACTTAGCGCAGTGCCTGGCACGTAGTAGGCATTTAATAAATGTTTATTGGATTGGACTTATTGGATTCAAAAAAGAGCTGATTTTGGCAGTTGAGAGTCAAGCTGGGGAGAGGGGCAGACCCAGGTAGGTGAATGACTCACCCAGCACAGGTACTTTGCCCAGCAGGCAGCAGCGTTATGAGAAGAGCTAAGACACTGAGGTCTTACAGCACTGGAGGTATGAGCTGCCTTGGCCGTGTATGTGCCTCACAAGTCTGTGCCCACTCTTCCCTGTGATGGATTATGTGTGTATTTGTGGTGAAGTATGTCGTAGGTTTATGGGGAAAATATTGTATGGCTGCTCTTGTTACTATGACGTCTTAGTAAATGCTTTGAGTTAATTGTATCTGCTGGCTGACTAAGCACACCTTTGGGGAGCTGAGAATTTTTAAGTGCAAACCTGCCAGGTACTTTAGAACTTAAGGGAAATAGTTACTACCCATGTACCCCTACTGCCCCCAAATCTGTAAACCTGTATGCTGAATTGAGGGAGTAGATCTGATGAGGTGCTACATTATTATTTCTACTTATTTTGGATTTCTAGGTGGACCTTCATTTTATGAAGAAAATACCCATTGGGGCAGAAGCCTCAAATGTCTTGGTCGGAGAGGTGGATATCCTGGACCATCCGATTGTGGCCTTTGTAAGGCTGTCACCTGCTGTTCTTCTCTCAGGCCTCACAGAAGTACCAATCCCCACAAGGTAGAGACAGAAATATATACAGTAAATGTCATTAAAAAGTCTAGTGTCCTTGAACCCTAGTAAGAGAACCAACTTAATACCAAGACTTAGGACCAGGGGAATCTTGAGAATGGGTCTAAAGTGCAGCAGAGAGTTTATTAGAGTCCTGAGAAAATTACTTGATTAAGCACTGTGCTGATGAAATCTAAAACTCTTTGTAGCATAGAAATAAGCAAATAAGTAGGTTCTACTATGTTGGAAATGTTTGAGGTACAGTCTTGGGAATAGACTTCCTGCTTTCTGAGTACCAGCCTAGTAAAGAGGTGATGAGTTATTTTGACATGGTAAATTATGTAGGCAACTTAGGATTCAGTTTGCTATAAAGTGTATTCAAATATCCAGAACTGTGTTTATATCATTTTATGAAGTTTCATAGTTTTCACCTCTTCCCCCTATTTGTCTCATAAGAGCAATGAATGGGATCCCAATGGGATTACATCTGTACTGCATATAAAAAGTGAACTTTTGGAAAGAAATCTCTTTTCCAAAGCAAAGATTTTTGTCTCCATGGAAAGGCCACATAATTATAGCCACGTTATTAAATGTCAACAAAAGTTATGGTTTTAATGAGTATTGATATATCCAGATGGAAGATGGAGGTTAAAGTAGCTGATATTGACACATTAGCAGTGTGTCTGCTGAAGGTGCATACTTAAAGTTTGGTAATAATGTTTGTCTTTTTAGGTTCATTGGAGAGGAATAAAATCTTGTACCTTGGTGCTTAGTAACAACCTTTTACTCTCTCTGTTGTCAGGTTCTTGTTTATCTTGCTAGGACCAGTAGGAAAAGGCCAACAGTATCATGAGATTGGCAGATCCATGGCCACGATCATGACAGATGAGGTATGATGAAACTTGAGATGGGCATAACTCCTATGTTTCTAATGTATCTTTTCTTCACTTTGATTGCATGCTCTCTTTCTCCTCCCTCCCTTATTTCTCTCTCCTCCCCTCACTTCCTCTCCTTGGGAAAGAAATCAACATAAATAGGGAGAAGTCTTCTTAGGGTGATTGCTGTGTTATGTGGGGTACCTAGATAAAGAAGATAGGTTGGGTTGTTTTTCCCTCCCAGAAAGTGTGATTACATAACATTCTCTGTGGTTGTCCATTGCAGATCTACCTGAGGTGAGGAGATGCATTATCCTTTTCCTCTCCACCCCTTTCCCAACCACTTTTTTTTTGTCTAAAACTATGCTTGTCCATATACTAATAAAAACCAACAACTTGGTAGATATTCCTCCTTGCCACTCCTAGCTCTCATGCCTCAGATGTGAGAGCTCTTCCCACTGAGGCATGGCTAGGCAGAATTCACACAGATGTTGGACTCTGCCTAAGTTTAGCAGGCTCTAAATTTGGGGCATGGTGGAGGAGAGAGCAGTATGGGTGTGAATGAGCAGAACAGAAGACTTTGTATCCACATGCAAAGTGAAGCAGCTTTTGAATGTAAGGATGTAGCTGAGGAACAACATGACATTTGCCTCAAAGTGGCAATATCATGACATGGGTTTGCTGAAGCTGCCTGGCTGCTGAAATAGTGCCTCCTAGTGCACAGCTCTTGAAAAGGGTGGTGCAAATGTGTCAACTCTTTTTAAAAAACCCAACATATAGATATCAAAGATAGACCTTGAACCTCATTTTTCAATTCATTCTGAAGTGCAGTCCAACCTTTATATTCAGGAAGTTTTTCCTTACGTTTCATTTAAATCCTTTTGTTTGCTCCCCAGTAGAGATAGAGAACGGTTGTGTAGCCTTTCATCTACTTAAAGACCATTAATAAAGTTCCCTTGGACCCAGTCCATTTTCACTGTAAAAAATTATTATTCCTTTGGGCTCTCCTCCATTCTACACACTCTTACTGCTCTCTCGGAGTTATCTGCATTTCAGAGTTTTATTACTGAGATTAAAATCCAAGAAGCCGTAGTCTTCCTGACATCCACTGATAAGTATTTTCCTTCAGAAGATTTTCTGCAGTCTCCCTTAGGGTCATCTCTCCTCCATAGATTTTTCATGATGTGGCTTATAAGGCAAAAGAGCGTGATGACCTGTTAGCTGGTATTGATGAGTTCCTGGACCAAGTGACTGTGCTGCCCCCAGGTGAATGGGATCCATCGATCAGAATTGAGCCACCAAAAAACGTCCCTTCCCAGGTAATGTGCCTCAGTCGATCCACACCATTTATTGGGTGTAAAACATTACATGTGGTGTTTTGGAGGGTTAAATAATAGAAGACACGGATTCTGCTTTGGGGGAATTCATAACCTAATTAAGGAGGCAGAACATGCAAATGTGAAAAAGACAGAAACACCTACAGAAAAATCATACAGTAGGAATAAATGAATATAGTACCAGTATAACTTCTAAGAAAATATGGATTAGTAGAGTGATTTCAAATGGGCAAGCTCATTCAGGAAGGGTTTCCAGGGGGAGGTGAATCTTGAGTCAAATTTTTGAAGAGGAAGAGAGGAATGTAGAATAATCCAGAGGGAGTGAGAGAGATAGGTATCGTGACTGAGAATAGCACATGTGGAGAGAGGCCGCAGAACAAGATGAATAGAGACAGCAAGCATATTTGGCTCATAATTCTAATGTAGGAGGGAAGACACACAACTGCTACAGAAGACTCTACATAAAATAGCCTGTGGTTAGATTGACATCTATCTCTGTTTCATTACTCTGATTCCCCAGTTATATGCCTTTTATTTCTGTGTACCTAGTATTCCTTGTCCCTCTCCACTCATTTTCCTTTTCCCTCCTTTTCTGTGATACTCAAAGAAAATAAGGAAAGAAAAGAGAAACATGTCTAAACATAAATCACTAGTCAGGTCCAGAATTAGTCTAGATTCCTTTGGAGTCTGGGAATGCCTATGGCCTCTCCTCAGAATAATGTTTTTAAATTCACAAAATAAAATGCATAGGATTATAAGAGAAACCATTTATATTTAAATAAGGATATATTTTCCCCCATCCAAGTTCACAAAACCCCTGAAAACTATTCCAGATTAAGAACCCCTGATTGAAGAAATGAGATGGAGTATTGCTCTAAATATTAACATGTCTACAATCTGTATAATAAACCAACCAAGTATTTGTTCAACACCTGCTATGGGCCAGGGACTGTATTAGACACTGGGGATAAAATGGCAAAAAAGGACAACTCCCTGCCCTCTAGGAGTGTATAATCTTACACATGACTGCATAGATTCTCTTTCTATATACATTTTATTATAAGTACATAAATGTTTAAAAATGATTTTATAAAACCAAAGTAATTTATGGTAGGGGTGGGGGAAGGCATTAGCAGCTGGAAGAATCAGGAAAGGTTTCATGAAAGATGGTGTGTGAGGTGAGCTTTGTGGAAAAACCCAAAAAGTAGGGATTCTGGATGGCAGAGGTGAGGAGAGAGTGCATTCCAAGCTGCCTCTATGCAGTTTCCTATCTCTGTTTTTCTTTATAATAATATGTTCAGAATTCACCTTGGAAGTCTTGGAAGTCTTCCCAGATTGGGTACATCCAACTCAGATAACAAACTGTGTGACTCAGGGCAAGTCAGTTAACCTCTCTCAATCTGTTTCCTAATCTGTAAAATGAGGATAATAGTACCTACCTCACAGAGTTTTCGTAAGGATCAAACAAGATATGTGTGTGTGTGTGTGTGTATGTATACACATATATATTTCTGTGTGCGTACATGCATATACATATACGTATATGTAGGTATAACCTAAAAGCACTATACAAATGCTAGCTAATGGTAGTGGTAGAAGTGGTGGTGGTAGTGGTAGTAGTAGTGGTAGTGGTAGTAGTAGTAGTGGTAGTGGTAGTAGTAGTGGTAGTGGTAGTAGTAGTAGTAGTTGTTGTCCTTGTCATCATCGTTGTCCTCTACTAATCTGCATTCCCTCATCTGAATTTCAAAGGAAGCTAAGTCTCTAGAAGGCAGAAATGAGGAGGGACTCTATTCCAGGTATGGAGGACAGCCAATACAAAGGGATGGAAAAGGGAGGTGATGTGTTGAGTGTGAGCAACAGCAAGGTGGGCGGATGCCAGGGTATAAGGAGGGGACTAATGGGGAATAGCTGGAAAGGTAGGATCCTACCAGACTCTGAGGAGCTTTGTTTACATGTCAAACAGAAGAGTTGATATTTGATCCTAGATGTGATGGGGAAATAGGAGAGATTGTTGAGTATGGGAGAGCAGTGATATGGTCAGATCCATTCTTTAAGAAAATCTCTTTAGCTGTTGACTAGGGGGTTGATTGGTATGAGGAGAGGCTTGAAGCAGGGAGACCTATTAGGAAGCTGAAATCCGGTGAGGGTTGATGAGGGTCTGAACTAATAGGGTGATGGTGTATGAGAGGAGGAAAGGAGATGTACGTGAGAGATGTTGCAGAGGTAGATTTGTCAGCTGAGTGTGTGTGTGAGAGTGAGGAGTCAAGAATGACTTAAAAATTGCATACTTTGGTAACTGGAAGGTTAGTGGTATTCTTAACAGAAATAGACAAATTCAAAACAAGGATGGGTTTTTTGGAGGGGAGTGTATGGCGGGGCAAATGAATTATGTTTTGGACATATTAAATTTGAGATGCCTACAGGACATCTAGTTCAAAATGTCCAAAAGGGAGGCAGCTAGGTGGCACAGTAGATAGAGCACTGGCCCTGGAGTCAGGAGGACCTGAGTTCAAATCTGGCCTCACAAACTTGACACTTACTAGTTGTGTGACCCTGGGCAAGTCACTTAACCCCATTGCCTAGCCGGAGAAAAAAAATAAGACAAAATGTCTAAAAGGCAGTTGGTGATGAGTGAGAGAGAGAGAGAGAGAGAGAGAGAGAGAGAGAGAGAGAGACAGACAGACAGACAGACAGACAACAACTGTACATAGTTCTTGAACTTTATCTTTCTGGGCTCTTCTTGCTCAGTCATTCCTCTCTCACTCTGCATATTGAGAGATTGTAATCATATAATTTGTTGAACATGGCAAAAATGGAAGGACATCAGCCAAGTGTTCTTATATTTGGAAGCATTTACCTCTAGGCCTTGCTTAAAACTCCTATGACTTGCCCTCCCAGATCTTCCCAAAACCACCTAACCCCAGAGCTCATTGAAAGGAGGAGGATCAGGGACTGAATCTCAGGATCACAGACTATACCAGGGGAAAGCAGGGGAAAGAGTCTTCCCCTCCAGCTCGGCAGCTTAGCAGAAGTGACAGTAGCTGCCAGTCTCTGGACTCTGTTTCTCCTCCGGTATCTAGGTTGCTCCCACAGTGCTGATTTCTGACAATCACACTCCCTGATGGTCTGACCTACTTCAAAGACATTGTCTGCATGACAATGAATTCTAACTCTTGAGGGCAGTAGAAAGAAGAAATAATTAATTAATGAAAAACATTTGTTATGACTATGTTGCAGGCACTGTGCTAAATGCTGGAGATCTAATACAGAAGAGGCAGCCAAGCCTAGGTGCCTGCCCACAGATCTCATCTCTAGTCCTGCCCACTGTGCACATAGACTCCCAGGGAGGGGGCAAGGGCAGTTATATTCTCATGAGTGCCAGGATCATTAAAAAAAAGCAACTCTATTTTGCTAGTCACTTCTCCCCTTCTCCCTTCCCTTCTCCCCCATTATCATTGCCCCAGGCCTAGAAAAAGATAAAAATTTTAAAAGTTAGAGGAACAGTGTGAGCAAGGTTACACAAAGATCCCCCTTAGACAGCAGGATCAGAGTGTGTGTGTGTGTGTGTGTGTGTGTGTGTGTAAGGGTTAACGTAAGTGTGTGTGTGTGTGTGTGTATGTGTGTGTGTGTGTGTGTGTGTGTGTGTGTGTGTGTGTGTGTGTGTGTTTTACTAGGTAGGACTGGCTAGAAGTTGCATGGAGGGAGCACAAGGCCTCACAACAGGGTGATATGTGAGAGGTGTTGTGGAGGTAGAAACAATAAGATTTGACAAATGATTAGATATATTGATATATTGAAAGAAATTGGTATAAAACCCAGGAGCCTTTGCCAACTTGGTTCTGAGAAGGGAAGAGAGAACTAGGGGAAGGGATGTCAAACCAAGAGACACTAGGGATATAGATGGAAGGAGAGTGGGGCATAATGGAGCTCATTACATTTTTGAATGGAAACACTTCCTACTTAAGAAGAGAATTTTCAGAAGTTCTCGAAGGGCTCGACATCACCCAGATCTAGATTTCGGCTTTGCTACATGGTTCTTTTCTTCACAGCTGCCATCTTTTTGGCTGAGAGGTTATGCCATGGATCCAATGAATTAGGGTCCAGGAACTTTCCTCTCAGGCCACATGGCTGAGAACACAAGTAACTGCAATGCGGCTGTACCCCAGGAGGTCGTTAGTGGCTCCTAGTGAGGAGGCCATGAGTATGCACAGGTTTTTCCTGGCGCAAGACCTAATATCATTTCTAATTCTGCTGTTCTCCAGTGTGTGCTCAGCTCTTAAAGGACCTCTCTGACAAGGGAGTGGGTGGATGGGTGGGGGAGTAGGGGGGAAGGCTGGTTCTTCAACCAACTTTTTTTTTTATAGTCCAAGCACAAAGGATTGGCTCTGACTCACAATAGTTTATTACCAACCAATCCATAACAGCCCAAGCTAATTAGTTCACCTCCAGTCATGACAGTGAAGAGCATATCCTTATCCTCAGTGAGACATTTTTGGGCATATCCCAGTAGGTTCCCTCCTAGTCCTCTCAAAAAGTCAATGGGCATATAGATGACCTACATGGGAAGAGTGAGTGGAAGTCCAAAGAAAAGGTTCACTACTCTATAAACTCATCAAGTTCTTCAGGGAACACCTCTAATAAACCTCTTACATGTAGATTACTCTTTTTTATAATTCATGTTTCTATTAATATTTTTAATCTGAGGTTAGCCTTTTGCTCCCACCTGGCACAGAACACTCCTCTTCCCATCCTCTTCTGCTCTCGCTGTCCAGACAGTACAAATTCAGGGAATGCAAAATCCTTTTTATATTCATTTAAGTAAAAAAAAAAACCAGCAAGGTAAATCAGTTATGGATCCCTGCCCAAGAAAGAATTTTTAGATTCTCTGATATTTCTTAAGTTAATCCCAATCATTTCCTCCTCCATTAGCATGGATAATCAAGAATTGACTGTATTAGTAAAAGTAATTCATGATATTTTGTAATTAGGAAAAAAGGAAGATGCCTGGGGTTCCAAATGGAAATATTTGCCATGTCGAACCAGAGCAACATGGTGGCCATAGTGGTCCTGAACTTCAACGTACGGGGAGGTGAGTTCTGAGAAGTCTCCTCATTGTTATTACTCATAAGTGAAGAAGCTCTTCAAAACAAAGAAAGAAACATTTCTTTTCTTTTAATATTTTCTGTGATTGTGTCTTCATAGGCTTGAAATGACTTTTGAGGGGAAACCAGTGTCTCAGAGTATTGTGAACACATCAATAATGTTATTTTGGGTTGTTATGACCCATGTTGAACCTAGGCATAAATGAACCCATATGGCGGAATTAGGTTTCTGAGCCCTGCCTTTCTTCCTTTTGTGAATCTCAAGAGTCATATTTGTGTGTTATAGTACCTTTGTTATGCTTCGAAGGCTTAATATGATGAGGAACAGAGAGTAGTTGCAAAAATGGACAATACTGAAGACCTTTTGGTCTGGACACAGGAGTGAAGAGTGTCTACGTGTAGGCACTGAGAAAGCTACCAAAGAAATATAAAACATGGAATTACAAACTATATCATCTTAAAATCCCAGAGCTGGAGGAGGCCGTAAGAGATTTCTTAGGCCACCATCCTTCTTGTCTCTAGGCAGGATGGCAGTCAAACAGTTCCAGGGAGCAATTTTTTCTTCATAATGGCCAGGAAAATACTCTTTAAATCTCTTTTGCTAACATTCTTTTGACCAATTACTCTTCAAACCTGAAACTTCTGACTTAGTTGTCTAGCTTCATTCTCTCCTGTGATAGAGACCCATTGCTTCTTCTGTCCTCAGTAAAAATAAAAAAGTACTGCTTTATGTTATGCCTTCAGGCTGCAAAGAGAATCTTTCTCCCTACTAACTTTTTAAATCCTTGAAAAACTATTTGGTTTATCTTTGTATCTGCCTCAGTACCTCACACAATGTATATAGATACTTAATCAATATTGATGAAATTGAAAAAAAGGGAAATTTACCTACTTACATATTTCAGATAAGTGATAGCAAATTATACTATTTCATCTTCACCAGCATCCTTGGCTAATTTGAGAGGAAGGATTGAGATGGTGTTAGCTATGAATTGAATATGCTGAGTTTATTATTCCCATGTGAGTTGTCTATAAAAGACACGTCCTGTGTTTTGGAAGGGCACAATATTAAATAATTTCCACCCCTTCTTTTGTTGTATTGGAGAGAGGGCATCTAGGAGATGATCTCTCCAATGGGAACAATGCATTTCTAGTTCAAGACTGAGCCTTAGCAGGAAGAGGAAAAGAAACAGGAAAATGGCCCTACATGGCTAATGAGCTTCTCCAGAGAGGAAAATTAGGACTGTCCCAGGAAACAGCATGTCTCTTTTGTGTTATAGTAGAAAGAACAATGGATTCAGTCAGAAGACCTGGATTCAAATTCCAGCTCTGCTACTTGAATCACTTTGGGCAAATCATATCAGAAAACTCTTGGGGTCTCAATTTAGTCATTGTAATCCGGGTCAAAGTGGGGAGTCTAGGGCTGATCTAGAGTATCTTTAAGGTCCCTTCTAGCACTGCATTCTGTAATGTATGAGAAGACAACATGGTATGGTGGAAGTGTGTCAACTTGGGAGGCCAAGGACCTAGGCTGAAACCCCACCATTTGTGGTTACCATCTATGTGACTTTGGGCAAGTCACTTAACTTCCCTGGGCCTTATTTTACTCATAGGCAAAATGAGGGGAGTGGTCTAGTTGTAGTGCCTTCCAGCTCTAGAGGCACCTCTGATGTCCTCCCTTGTTAGTAAGGGAGGTGCCTCCTAGGCTGAGTGAAAGTAGACTTGAAGGAGTCCTGGAATCAGGAAGATGTTTTTCCCTCAAGTGGGAAGGCTGTGAGAAAATATGGTATCACAGGGAGGTGTGACAATCAGTAGTACCCCTGCCCCAGCCTCCCCAAAGAGGCAAGTCTTCCCCAGAGTGTGAGTGCCATGGATGGAGGAAGAGCTGTAACATTTGCAGGTCAAATAGACCCTTGCCTCAGGGCACTGAAACTTAGTGAAAAAGTTTAAATAATGATTTTAAAAGACCACGAAATTTAATGATTTGTTACATTTAGATTTTGGCAGTCACTCTTTTATCAGCGTAGAAACTAGTTAGCAAGAATGATTAGTTAGACTAGGAAGCTGCTCTAGGGCATGCCTCCTCCCCCTGCTAATTTTGGTACCAGGCTAACTTTTTCTTTTCGCAGCAGTTTTGTGATGTCCTAGGGTCTTTCTCTCCCTATACAGGGTGGTGTCTCAGGATTTTTCCCACAAATCAGTAGTGCCCAGGTTTTCCTCCTGTCACTTGTTCATTTGGGACCCATTTAATACTATTTGACCCAGAAGCTGAATGTACTAGTTCTAGCTCCAGGCTAGAATCCCATTCAAGGAGATTGGCCTTGGTGAGGAGTTTCTGAATAGGGGCCACACTTTAAGTGGAAATTTTTACCAAAAATCCCTGACTTTCATTTTATTTTCCCCTTCCTATCTCTGCTCTACTAACTCTTTGTACCATTAGTACAAGCTTGTCATTTCTTTTCATACATGTTCCATTCTTTGAAACACATGGAAACTCAGTGGAATTGCCAGGAGAGGAGACAAAGAGGCAGGCAGGAGTATGCAGTTAACAGGTAGTGTCCCTGTATAGGTGCATTAAGTACCTTGGTTGGAGGGGAGGTCTTTGAGGGTGGAAGTAGGATAAGCTCTCTGGGAAAGGAGTTCCCAGGAAAAGGAGAAATCTGTGAAATAGTTGCACTAAAAAGGGTGGATGGGAAGTCTCTGAGACATGATCTTTTCTTAAGTTGAGAAGTCTCTTGGGTCCTGGGAAGGATCCATTCTAGGGCCGGTGGTCCTGGATTGATCATAGTTTATTGGTTGGTATGTTAGGGTATAGTACTAGGTTTGGGGCTTCTGTTCTAAAATTGTGGGCTGCCCATATGCCAAATATTGGATTTAGGAAGAATATGACATGTGCCAATGTCAAATACTTATTTGATTGGTTTAGAAACAAAAAAGAAAGGATTAATCAGTGATCTTCCTCCAGAGGTGCCATTTGGTACCAGAAAAAGAAGATGGCAGAGGTATGGCCCACTAACCTCTATTTACTCATTAATTGTCAACTTCCTGTGAGAATTTTGGGGACCAGTGGATTGGATACCAATGGTAGAGTGAAGCTAGGAATTCAGAAATAAGATTGAAAGTGAAAAACGTAACTGCACATCAAACCGCATGTTGACGTGAACATTAGATCCATCATGTTCTTAATCACCAAGCCCAGGGTCTGACCTCCTTTCTCTCAAATTCAAATCTATTTTATGGGAGTTCTCCTAGACTGTCAATATTTGATAATTCTGGTACTGAAAGAAAAGATTGTCCCTGATCTTTCCCGTTTTACTTTTGGCGAAAGACCTCCAGAAACCTGGCCATCTACTGCAGTCACTTTGCATTTTTGTACCATAAGATGCATGAGTGTGCAAATTTAATGCCATTTTTACCAACTTTAGAAAGCATGGACACTTTGTGTTGCCCCACTTCCATTATATGACCTGGGGACAAAATGGAATATTAAGAATGGAGTCGGAAGTTGAAAACCACAGCCAACTCCTGAGTTAGACCATAACTCTGTCAGCATCTTAGTAGGGAAGACAGAAGTCTGGTGGGATATCTCTGTTCTCGTAAAGAACAGATGAGAAGACATGGGAGAGAGACTGGCAAGTGGGGATCACAGATCCCTCTGCCCCAGACCAGGGAGGGTTCTTTTAGAAGGTTGCCCTGGGCAGATTCATGTCTTGCGTTGGAGACACCAGTTCTGGAAAAGAAATCAAGCACAACGGGCTTTCTAAAAAATGGTCTTTCCCTCAGACAGGCCTCATCCAAACCAGTCTATGTGATTGGGCAACTACCATGGAAGGAGTTCCCCTCCTGTGGGCTACAGTACGTAATGACTGTTTGTGCTGTGAGCGTTCTCCTTGGTGTCCAGTGAGGGGTTTCATGCCAAAAGCCAGGGCTGTTCCTAGACAGGAGCAGAGCTAGAACAGCTTACACCAGATGTCTCTCTCTCTCCCCCCAACATTTTCATACAAGTGAAATCCCGTTCCAATGACCATCAGAGGCAGCTTCAAACAGGAAGGGCAGCAACAGCACTGTGAGACTCTCAAGAGGGGCGGGGCACCAGGGCTGCTCAAGAGTTAATTGTTAAATTTTTGCACAGTGGAAATCAGCAAATACTGTAACTCAGGGCTTGATTGATTGTTTGGTTGATTAAGTCTAGACTTAAGAAAATGATGGGGAAACCATTAATGGTGTAGATTAAATTTAAAAGCTTGTCTTGTTACATCTGAGAGCTGGTTGTTAAACATTTACCAGCACACCCAGTGTGGTTCATATAAATGTTTTGTCTGAAGCAATGGATTATTTTGAGAGACTTTTTCTGGGATGGTGCCCTTTAGTCCATGACTGTTCAAGGGCAGAGAAGACTTGTTTGTAGTATAGAGCAGTTGTCCTGAAGTATCAAGTATGAAGGGTGGGGAAAGGGAAGGGAATTAGCATTTATTAAGTGCTTACTATGTGCCAAGCACTTTACAAATGTTATCTCATTTACCCTGTAAGGTAGGTATTGTTATTTTCCCCATTTTACAGATGAGGAAACTGAGGCAAATGGGTTTAGTGACTTGTCCAAGATCACACAGCTAGTGTTTGAGGCCAGATTTGAACTCAGGTCTTCCTGACTTCAGGTCCACTGCATCACAAGTTGTGGGAAAGGCAAATAACTGTCTGACTTCTTATCTTTGGAGTCTAAATTGATTACTCAGCATGGGGACAGGCCATGGCCTAAATGAAGTTCTTAGCTAGAGGTAAAGGAGAGGAATGGTCCTGATGTGGGCCTCTGGCTCAGAGCTTTCCCCATTCCAGAAGATTGTCTGGGAGTGACAGTACCTGTTCAGCAGCCTTGGGGCAGGGAGGCAGCCCCGAGGCTTCCATTTGGACGTGTGTAACCCTGCTGGTCCTCTAGGGCTGGTGTAGTCTCTTTATCACCCCTTGCTTTTGTCCCTCTGCCATTTTCTGCCATACCTTTACAGTCTTTCAGGTTCTTATTACAGCTCAGTTATTATTACATAAGCTTTATTTTTCCTTTTGCACATGCTCAATCTTTAGAGATTAGGTGGCACGCACACACACACACATACACACACACACACACACTTTGCAATTGTGAGGCACAGTTTAAATTCTGCATTGGGAAGCTGATGCTTGCTTTCCTATAGATTGCTAATCAGTCTCAGGATAGCCATTAATCCTGCTGCTGGTAGAACATGTGATGACCCAGAAGCAACATCTTGCTTTGGGAACCAAAAATGCCAAGATGGTGACTTAACTCTTAGGACATTAGAAGTGATTTGAGATTTGTGCTACTCAAGTATCGTCTTCCTGGGAGGGTGAACACGAGGATCGTTGGTTTGTCTAAGGAGGCCGTCTTCTCTGTTTCTGCAGGCTTTTTGGGGGTTTAATGCTGGATATAAAGCGGAAGGCCCCTTGGTACTGGAGTGACTATCGAGATGCCCTGAGTTTACAGTGTCTGGCCTCTTTTCTGTTCCTGTATTGTGCCTGCATGTCACCTGTGATCACCTTTGGGGGATTGCTTGGAGAAGCAACTGAGGGACGAATAGTAAGACCTTTCATCAACGATAATGACTTTGATAATGATAAAGAATGTGATGGTGGGAGCCCGCCTTGAGATACAGGATTAGGGGATGTGAGTTCTTGCCCTGGTTTTGCCAATTAATCACTTGGCAAGTCATTGGATTTCTGGATTTCATTTTCCTCTATACAACAGGGAGAACAATCTCAGCCCTTCCAGGAATGACAGGAGATTAAAAAAGATGATCAGTATGAAAGTGATCTGCAGGTATTAAAGACGTAGAAATACAAGGGATTATAGTCATCTTTTCCTCTTTTGTTTTCAGTTATCCACAACAAATTTTTAATTCCTAGTTGATTTCTGACTCTTCTGGGCCAACTCCCCATGTTGTTGACATATAGTAAATGGTGTATATGTGCGTGTGTGTGTGTGTGTGTGTGTGTGTGTGTGTGTATAGTATAGGGAGTGTCATTTATTTTTAATGTTAGCTTAACCAAACATAATTAAAAAGGGAAAGTTGTTGTCAGAACAGAAGTCCCATGGAAAACGCCCAGCCTTTGTTCCAATGACAAATCAAAGTAATTTGGAAATTATTTGCTGCTTTGTATCTTATATGCCTTGGGGCAGCTAGATAATACAGAGAACTGAGTGCTGGGCCTGGGGAGACTCCTGTTCCCGAGTTCAAATCTGGCCTCAGACACTTAACTCTGTGACCCTGGGCAAGTCATTTAACCTGCCTGCCTCAGTTTCCTCATCTGTAAAATGAGTTGGAGAAAGAAATGGCAAGCTACTCCAGTATCTTTGCCAAGAAAACCACAAATGGGATCCTAAAGAGTCAGACACAAATGAAAACTACTTAACAATAACATCTTATCTGCCACTACTACTCTCTATTCATATACATGCAATGAGAGTTTATTGTATTGGTATTATTAACTCTAGTTAACATTTATATAATTTATTTAGAACTGATATTTATCTTTAGCAATTGCTTCCATTTTTTTTTTTGCTAGAGTGGTGGGCTCATCGAAATGCCACAGTGTCCCAACTTAACAAACAATACTTCCTAGTGTAGGAGTGAATATTATGTTCTTTAATAACAGTCTCAAAAGATATTTATATACTTTGATTGCGTGATGCCTCAAGAAGACTCCCGGGAGAAACTTTGTCACCTTACACTAGAGTTTCAGGTGACTGACTCAGCCTGACAGCTGCATAGCATGGACAATAATATTGTGTTCACATTTTTTTAAAAGAGAATTGAATTAAGCCATTGCTCAAGCAAGTACAGAGAGATGGATGAACTTGGGCACCTGAATTATTAAAGGGAGAGCGTTTTACGCAGGGAAGGATTAGACAGTTTGTACACATTACTTTTGGTAAGGTGAAATGCAAGCAAATGACTTTTAAGACACATAGAAAGTCTGTGTAAGTAGAGTAGATAGGATAATGTTGCCATTTATTGATCTGATATGGAATCAGTGATGAATTTTGTTCCTTGCAGAGTGCAATTGAATCTTTATTTGGAGCCTCGATGACTGGAATAGCCTATTCTCTGTTTGCGGGGCAGGCTCTCACTATCCTGGGGAGCACTGGGCCGGTGCTCGTGTTTGAAAAGATTTTGTTCAAGTTCTGCAAGTAAGGCCTTCCTTTTTTCAGAAAACCTGAAGTTGTGTGGTTTAGTGACTAGGCCAAATTCCAGGACCTTGGGTAAAAAAAGATGAGAAAGTAAAGGACAGCACTTGTAATTTCAAGTTCAAATACTAGTCCTGGGCCCTATGACCTAATGAAAGATGTCCCCTTAGCGCACCAGCTCACTGTTGGATAGCTCTAAGCAGGAGACCCTAATTAGACAGCTATCCTCCTTCTTAAAGAATCCTACAACGTTTCTCCGTGATTATTCCACTGAACTGAGAGTCAGAGAGTCCCAGCTTTGTATCATGAGCCCTGTAACCACCGCCAAGTCACCAGACTTCTCTGTGGTTTGGGAAATCGGACTCAGAAAAAGGAAGACCCAGGTTCCAATCCTAACTATCTGACCTTAAGCAAGTTATTTAATCTTTTTGAGTCTCAGTTTCCTCATCTGTAAAATGTGGATATGAATAGCATGATGCACATAAAATTCTACAAAAACCTTAAAGCACTCTTAAGTGTGAGATAATAACAGGAGTGGTAGTGCTGGCATCTACCTCTTTCACTAGGTGTTCATAAAGATCAGGTAGGATAATTTATGTAAATTCTTTTACAAACCTACAAGTGCAACATAAAAGGCAGCTGTTTTAATAGTCAAGAAATTCTCCCTATGTCAAACCTGAATCCCTTTACTTATAACTTCCCATCGTGTGGTGAGGGCACTATCAATAAGGTCATTCTCCCTATCTTCTCTCACCCTGCGCACACTTTAATTTATGTGTATCAGAGATGGGAGAGTAGAGTCCCTCTGCCTCCCTCTGAAGAGAGGGACCAGGGCTGGCTGCTTCCTTATCCCTGCCAGGTTCATTAGAGATCACCATCTAATAAAGTAGGAGGGAGAGGCCATGTGGTGAAGTAGATACACAGTTGTTCTCAGGGTCAAGAAGAGCAGGGTCTCTGCAGCATGAGCTGTGAGCAAAGTGGGCAAATCATTTCAGGCTCAGTGCTCTCTCACACAGCTCTCTCAGGCTTAGAATTGTAAAGGAGTGGTTGCTCTGTGCTGGTAGAGGGAGTTTTCTCACTAGTAGCTCACTATATATCAATGAAATCCTGGTAGGGACCAAACAAAAATGTAGAATGAGAAGTACTGTTCAAGATAAGAAATGTCTCTTCCCTCCCTCAGTGTCACATACCACCCGAACCTGATCTTTGTGAGTCAAGTAGAACATGTGAAGTAAACCAGGGCTGGATTTCTGAGCCCTTAGCCCTTCTGTCCCTTAATTCGATGCATGCATTGGTGCTTTTGATTTATTTTGGCTTTGTTTCAGAGACTACGCCCTCTCTTACCTGTCCCTTCGAGCCTGCATTGGACTGTGGACTGCTTTCCTATGTATTGTCCTCGTGGCAACTGATGCCAGTTCTCTTGTCTGCTATATTACCCGCTTTACTGAAGAAGCATTTGCCTCATTGATTTGTATCATTTTTATCTATGAAGCAATAGAGAAATTGATCCACCTGGGGGAAACCTACCCCATCCACATGCACAGCCAACTGGATCACCTTAGCCTTTACTAGTAAGTCTGAGCTTTTTCTTATTACACAAAAAGGGTTTTGGTCTGGAGCCTGGCTGCTCCATGGTATGGCCCCTGTAAAGTAAGGTAGTGTATTTCTAGAGGCCTGTTGGGAACCAGAGTTGTAGACGCAGAAACCTTGGGGAGCAACCCCAAGTGAAGGAGTTAAGAGCCTGAATCTTGGTGGAGAAGCTGGAGAAACCAGAAGGAGTGCTGTTGTCACAGAAGGCCCCGTTTTCATTCTAGTTGTGGCATTAATTCCTTGTATGAACCACGAGCAAGTCCCTTCACACCATCTGTGAAATGAGGTGGCCTAGGGAATTTTTAAGATTGCTTTTAGCTCCAAGATTCTTTGAATTTGAGAAGCCTAAACAAATGAGGATAGGGATAATTTAATCAGTCTTTGAATATGTAGAGTAACATGGAGAACATCTATCCTCTGTTTCTCTTAAGGATAAGATGAACAAGAAAATTCTGATATTGCATTAATAGGGATTTAAATCAAGTGTTGTGGGAAAAAAAACTTCCTTAGTATAAGGATTTTTGAAATCACGGAGATAGTAAAATCCCTTTTTTTTTTGGAGAGAATATTCAACTATCTTTATTTTTTTTTTATTTTTTATTTTTTGGCAAGTGGGGTTAAGTGACTTGCCCAGGGTCACACAGCTAGCAAGTGTCAAGTGTTTGGTCTGAAGACTGATTTGAACTCGGGTCCTCCTGACTTCAGGTCCAGTGCTCTATCCACTGCGCCACCTAGCTGCCCCTCAACTATCTCTCTCTCTCTCTTTTTTTTTTTTTTTGCTTTTAGGCAATTGGGGTTAAGTGACTTGCCCAGGGTCACACAGCTAGTAAGTGTCAAGTGTTTGGTCTGAAGCCAGATTTGAACTCAGGTCCTCCTGACTTCAGGGCCAGCACTCTATCCACTGCGCCACCTAGCTGCCCCTCAACTATCTTTCTTAAAGGACCCTTTTATACCTAGGATTCTATCATTTTAGACCAGAAAGGTCTGGGAACCCAGATTGTTTACTAGACTACAACTTGAAATACTGTTGCTTCTATCACAGCTTCTTGGCTGATATGACTATTCCAAGAAACTCTCATTAGTGTTATGGGTAGTCCATGATATTCTTTATTGTTGTCTCTAGAAACTTTTGGTTCTTGAAATAATAACCAGGGAGCTTTTGGACATCTGGAAAAAATGCCCAAGTTGTTTTCCTCAAGCTCCTTCTTGAGCCTTCCCTAGTTCTGTATATTTCAAGAAACCTTAGTGATTCTCCAGTGTAACATCTTGGACTGTGCACCTCCTTAACAACATTACTGACAGATGCCCTTCCTTCTCATCTTGTTGTATTGTTCTGATGTGGGTGATCTGGATTGATGAAAGGAGGTAAAAGACACAGAAGTAGGAAGAGAAAATACAGAATTGTTAACCCTCAGAGGAGCAGTTAGCCTCACAGTGCCTGAGACTAACGGGTACAAGCTCATGAAATCATACCCACACACTGGTATACTTCCTAGTTGTTCTGTTGTCTGAGTGTGAATCTTGGGCAGCAAACATAATGTGACTGGGGCCTCTCATAGCACCTGCCAAAGTGATACGTGGGATCTTGGAGCTAAAATGTGCCTTTGAGGACTTGGAATCCAGCAACCATTGGATGAAATATTCCATATCCAGATACTATTCAACCATGTCATTTAATCATCGGGTGCTGGGGAAATCAGTATTTTTTAAGACAGCCCATACCATTGTTGAACAGTTCTTATATTAGAAAGTTTTTCCTTATGTTTAGCCAAAAGGTAAATCCCTGTTATTTCTAGTTATTGGTGCTGATTACTCCTTCTGGAGCTGCACAAAACAAATCTATTATCTCTTTAGACTACAACACATTAGACTTTTTGAAGGCCACTATCATGTCCTTCTCAAATCTTTTTTTTTTTAGGTTAAATATCCTCAGCCCCTAAACCATTCCTCATTATTCAATTCAATTCAATAAATATTTGTGTGTCAATCAATAAAAATTAAATGCCTACTATGTGCCAGGCACTGTGCTAAGTGCTGGGCATAAAGAAAGGCAAAAGACAATCCCTGCCCTCAAGAAGCTTAGAATCTAATGGAGGAGGCAATATGCAAACAAATGTATACAAAGCAAGTCATATACAGGATAAATAGAAAATAATTAAGAGGGAATGTATTGAAATTAAGAGAGATTAGGGAAGGCTTCCTGCAGAAGGTAGGATTTTAGTTGGAACTTCAAGGAAGCCTGGGAAATCAGTAGTCAGAGTGAAGGAGGTGGAGTGTTCCGGGCACGGAGGACAACCAAAGAAAATGCCTAGATCTGAAAGATGGAGTGTTTTGTTTGTGGAACAGCCAGGAAGCCAGTGTCAATGGATCGAAGAGTATATGTTGGGTAGTAAGGTGTCAAAAGACTGGAAAGGTAGGAAGGAGCTAGGTTATGAAGGGCTCTGAATGCCGAACAGAGAATTTTATATTTGATCCTGGGAGCAATGAGAAGCCAGTGGAGTTTGTTGAGTGTGGGGGGTGTGACATTGATCAGATCTGCACTTTAGGAAAATGTTTTTAGTGGTTGAATGAAGGATGAATTAGAGTTGGGAGAAATTTGTGGCAGGCAGACCCTCCAGTTGGCTATTACAATAGCCCAGGTATGAGGTGATGAGGACCTGCATGAGAGTGGTGGCTGTGTTAGAGGAGAGATGTGTTTATTGGAGAGATATTGTAAAGGTAAAATCAACAGTACTTGGCAAAAGCTTAGGTATGGAGAGTAAGAGATAGTAAGAAATCTAGGATGACTCCTAGGGCTGGAGCCTGAGGTGAGGGGTTAGGGTGGGGAAGGTTTAGGATATACTGAGTTTAAGATGTCTACTAGACATCCAGTTTGAGATGTCTAAAAGGTGATGGGGATAGAAGACTGGAGGTTAGCAGAGAGATTGGGGCAGGCTAGGAAGATCTGAGAATCATCAGCATAGAGATGGTGATTAAATCCATGGGAGCTGATGAAATCACCAAGTGAAGTAGTGTAGAGGGAGAAGAGAAGAGGGCCCATATGATGTGGTTTCCAGATGCTCTTCGGTTTGCCTGTATCACTCTTACAGAATATGGTAAAGAGCAGAGGTGTCAAACACCCCGCTGCATTCGACCTGCAACACTCAAGGAGACCTAAATCAGATGAAAATGTAATTGGGAAATATTTAACAAAATGCAAAAAAAAAAATACTACAGGACATAGGCAATATTAATATGTGGTTTTCTAAGTCAATATGTGGCCTGCAGGACCTCTAACCTCTATGTACTGTTTAGTGATCTCCATTTCTATTTGAGCTTGACTCCACAGCTATTGAGCGCACTGTGACTGTTACCTTTCTTGTTTTTAAACAAACGCAGCTGAGGTTGCATTAGTTTTTAACAGCAATGCTATATTCTTGTTGGTTCATCCTGAGTTTGGGGTCAACTAGGAGCTCTGTATTTTTATCACATAAAAAAGCCAGTTTTCCTCTATCCTTTACTTCGCTGCTTGATTTTTTTTTAACCAAAGGGAGGGACATGATATTGTTTAAAATAAAATTTTATTGATATATTGTGTTTTTACATCACCTACATTTCCCATTATATTCTGTCCTCCACCTCCCTAAGAGCAATGTGTCTGTTATATGTTCGTTGTTTAGTCATTCAGTCATGTCTGATTATTTGTGACCCCAGTTTGAGGGTTTTCTTGGCATAGACACTGGAGTGGTTTGCCATTTCCTTCTCTAGCTTGTTTTACAGATAAGGAAACAGAGGCAAGCTGGAGTAAGTGACTTGCCCAAGATCACACAGTAAGTATCTGAGGACGGGTTTGAACTCAAGAAGATGAGTCTTCCTGACTGCAGGCCTGTTGCTGTATCCACTGTGACACCCAGGTGCCCCAGAGCAATATATACCTTACAACAAAAAATTAAAAAAGAGGGAAAAAGCAGTTAAGCAAAACAAATCAACATATTGAAAAAGTTTCGCGGTATTTTCAGCGCTCCACACCCATAGTCTGCTGCTTCTGGAGAGAAGCCAAGGGAAGGGCTTTCTTATTCTTCTTCCTGGGGACCTGACTTGGCAATTTGCAATTTGCAGTTTTCAGAGTCGATTGCTTTGTCCTTGTTCTTCCCATCTCCATTATTGTAGTCACTGTGCATGTAATTCTCCCGGTTCTGCTTGTTTTACTTCCCCTAAGTCTTCCCATGCTTCTCAGTAATTCATCCTAGTCATTGTTTCTCATGGCACAGTAACGTTCCATTCCATTCATGTGCCGCAGTTTGACTAGCCATTTGCCAATGGATGAACATCTTCTTTGTCCTGCTTTTAAAAAGTGCTTTTAGGAATGTGGTGATATAGGGGGAACAATTTGATCCCTTTGGAATATATTCCTAGCCCATGAATCTCTGGTACACTTATTTTTAAAAATAAATTTTATTGATTTCCTTTGTTCTTATGCCATGTTCATTTTCTGCTATAGCTCTCCCTCTTACAGTACTAACTCTAACTAACAATACTAACATGCCAGTACTGAATCCTCTCTTATCACAAATTTAAAAACAGTTAAGCAGCAATAATTGATACAGTAACCACACCTAATAGCTTAGTCAGCAATTGGCCCACATAGCTAGGCTGGGTGACCCTAGGCAAGTCCCTTCTGTTTGCCCCAGTTTACCCAATTCTAAAGTAGGAATAATAACAGCACCTACATCCCAGGGTTGTCGTGAGGATCAGCTGAGGTAACACTTGTAACGTACTTAAAGGCATAGTGCCAGGCACGTGTTAGGCACTATGTAAAGGGCTATTCCCTCCCTCCCTAATAGCAGATCTTTACGTATATTGCCATTAAATGTCACTTTCGCTTCTTGAGAGCTTTTGGAATTCTGATTTGGTCATTCATGTTGGCTTTCTGTCCAGGGCGTATTTGACAAACCTGCTCTCTATTTCTTTATTCAAGTCACTGAAGCCTATGCATTATTTCTTATGTTGATGCTTTCTCCCTAAAATCTCTTCCATTTGCTCCTAGTTGCAGGTGTACTATCCCAAAGGACCCCAGCAATCACACACTGCAGTATTGGAAGGACCATAACATTGTGGCAGCGGAAACCAGTTGGGCCAACCTGACCGTCACTGTAAGCCGAGGAGCAGCTGAGCTGCCAGCTGTCAAATATACCAGCAGGGCAAGCTCTGGATTTAATTGAAAGAGAGGAAATAGGGTCACCCTCAGTTGGATTTCTTTCTTGGGGGGAAAAGCTTTATTAATTATTCATGATGCCTTCTCCCTTTTAAGACCAGGAGGACATGATCATATAGCTCTTTTCGAAGCAGAGGGGAGAATGTGCATCTCTCTCTCTGGGATTCTTTCCTTTTTGCAGGAATATTATTAGGGTAGCTATAGCGGCTTGCATAACTCAGCCATTTAAGGACTTCCTAGTTTGGTTTTGCCATTTGGATGTATTTTGCTTAGGGAGGGAGAAGAATGGGAGACGGAAGGCCCTTGTACCAGCCTGCTAATCCTATATTTAGGAGAGAAATGGGTACATTCTTTATTACCTGTCCCTTTGAAGTATTCCAGTAAACAAAAGATAACAGGGATAGTTAATCCCTTATATTCCCTGTATTCTTTTTTGTCTTGGCAATATAGCTAATGAACTATAGCCCTGGCATAAGCTCTCTAGAGTACTTTACCAGTGATTTCAGGCGTAGCTCTAGCTATTGGCAGATATTAGATTGCTTCTCAGCAATCCTACAAGGCAGCCATCCATGCACTGACACTCCCCTCCATTCCACATCTTCTCATTAACCCCTGTTACCCAATGGGGTAGCAACTGCATGAGAAGGTGAAATACATGCCAATGGCAACCTGTATTCTGCAGCAGCAGTGAGGGAAAGATGGCCAATGGAAAGAGGGATGGGTAGTAAATGATGATGTTGGCAAGCTGCAGATGGCAGCGTGTCCTGTAGGCCAGCAGAGGTGAGGATGCTGTTTAGAATGAGGAGGCTGCATTTCTGGGGGATGGAGGCAGATAAATCTTCATCCTAACTTCAGTGCTTGTTTTATGGGCTAACTTGTATAGGCCGTTAATCATTTGGGATGTTTGTTTCCTCAGGAGTGTCAGGAAATGCACGGAGAATTCACCGGATCTGCCTGCGGTCGCCATGGACCTTATACACCTGATGTGCTCTTCTGGTCCTGTATTCTCTTTTTCACAACCTTCATCCTCTCTAGCACATTAAAGACATTTAAGACAAGCCACTATTTTCCAACCAGAGTAGGTAGCTGGTTTCTTAGATCATTCAAATTTACATTCAACCAGGATGTTCATTCTGGGCAAAAAATTAATTCCGCCTTATGTTCTAAAGTCGAGTCAGCGGACGACAGCCTGCTCTCAGCCTCCATTCACCACTCACCCCTTGTAGCTTGCTGATCACGTTCTGGGGGTGTGAGTGTACATAGGGGGAGGGGGAGAATGGGAGCAGATGTCCTATGCTGCGCAACAATGTTCTCTTCTAATGGTCTTCTATCTGTTCTGTGTCCTCAAAGAGTTTTAGTGAGGATGAATGAATTAATCTGTATACATGGTTTGCTTTTAAAGTAGATTGGTGTTTTCTGTGGTCTGAAGACAACTGTGCTCCTCTCCAGCCATGCATGCTTTGGCTCCATGGAGAAGTGATCTTGCTTATAGACATAAAATAACGAGATTTAACTGATTTATTAAAAAGTTCCTTCCAGCTCTAAGGCCTATGAAATCCAATTGGCATGCAATACAAGCTAGCATAGAATTCAGTGCTAAATTGAGTGACCTAGAGTGCTCTAGGAGTTCAGAGGACAGGGAAATCAGTGAGGAGTGTATTAGGCAAAAAAGGCTTCCTGGAGGTGGTGGGGCTTTGGTTAGGCACTGAAGGATTTGGACAGGCTAGTTTTCCAGAAAGGGCTGAACAGAACACTGAATCCAGAACACTGCAATGTTCAGGGATTCTCATAGGAGTGGCTGAGTTTCAGAGCTGTTAGTGAATGTATATCATTGCAATAGAAAGTTGTGCTGTCTAATGGAAAGAGCTCTGGGCTGGGAGCCAGAGGACCTGAGTTTGAATCTGACTCTGCCACTTACTGGCTGAATGACTATGGAGAAGTTATTTAAACTTTTTGTGCCTCTGTCTCCTCATTTGTAAAATGAGGATACTTGACCTTCTAAGGTTATTGTGAGTAAAATGCTTTGTAACTGTGGTGAACCAACATTAAGTTCACATTAGAGTACAGGATTCTTCCCAATATGGCAGCATGAGTAGAAGTAGACCAGCCCATATTTCTCACAATTATTCTATTGAGGTAGGAAACACAGCATCAAACCAAGGAGGAAAAGTGATAGTAAATGCATTTTCCCAGTTTAGGTCCAAAGAAAGAGACAGCCAAAAGCCTCTCAGCATGAGTGTAGGGGTAGTAGCCAGCATTTAAATAGCTCTTTACGGTTCTAAAGAACTTTACAAATACCTCACTCGATCCTCACAGTAATCCTGGGAGGTAGGTGCTATTATTATTCCCATTTTATAAATGAAGAAACTGAGGCAGACAGAGGTTAAGTAATTTTAGTTTGCCCGGGCTCACAGCTAGTAAGTATCTGAGGCCGGATTTGAACCCAGGTCTTCCTGCCTCCAGGTACAGCTCTCTATCCACTGCCTGGCCTAGGAAGAAATATCACAGAATCCTTTCAGCAAGAATAACAGCCAGCTATAGAACTCATTATAGCTTATGGTTAAATGTAAATACTGATCTGCAAAGAATCATTCGCAGGCCTTATTGCTGTTACTGAAATAACTCCTGGTTATGTAATCCGAGTATCGTGTGAGTATTTCTTCTCATCCAAGAGTGTCTAGATAGCCACTGGGTGAATGATCTGGTAAATAACTCCCTCTTTCCATATACACACAGGCTAATTTATCCGTGGCCTAACCTCAGGGTTGTCTGTACAGAGCCAATTAAGTGGTCCCAGGATCTAAGACTGAGCCAGATTCCTGCCTCTCCAATATCCAACTGGATTCAGAAGTTAAAGCTTTCCCTTCACTGGCTTGAACATTATTTAAATGGTCTCCAGAGATGGGGGAGAGGAAGAGTCAAGGTTAGGTTCATCAGACCATTGCCTGGCACCTTATCCTGGCCATACCTTAAAGTCCCTGGGTTGTGTGCATAAATCCTTATGTTTCATTATACTATAGAATGCTGCTATAGCACTGATGTTTTATTCTGAGGATTTTGAAGCCCTTTTTCATGCTAATTTTTACATTTTCTAAGTTTCTCATCATTTCTTCCTCCAGGTTCGCTCCATGGTGAGTGACTTTGCAGTTTTCCTCACCATCTTCACAATGGTGATTCTTGATTTTTTAATTGGTGTACCATCCCCGAAGCTACAAGTTCCAAGCGTGTTTAAGGTAAATAATTCACGGGATGTACCTTCAGCATTGTTTGAAAGAATGTGGTCCTAAGCTGTGCTCAAAGAGCTTTTCAGGCAGCCTGGACTAAGATGAGTTCTAGGGCATCCCCCACCCCTGCCCCCTGTGCCCCTCAGATGAACAAAAGACATTTCCAAAGACATTTTGAAAAACATTTGCTTTTAGGTCCGGTGCTAAAGAACATCATAGTTTTCCTTTTAGTCCAGAGACAATGAAAACAGACAGTTGTCTAGTTAATTTGTAATGAAGTTGTTTACGCAGTTGTAACGAAGATGTTTACTAGTACTTCTGTTTCTTTTATTTTGTGTATTTGGTGCTAGCGTTTTAAAATCTAATGTGAAAATTTACCAAAATGGATGTCCAATAATATAAAAACGTGAGGTGGTGGAGGCACTGAACAGCTGTGGACCTCATGCTTCTGATCAGTCAGCAGATAGCTATCGTACTGCAAGGTCTGATATAAAGTAGTGTGAGACCCAGTCTGTGCCACAAAAAGCCCACAGTTTGGTTGGGGAGATAGGCCATAACGTCATGGAAACATTCCACGTGCCAAATGCACAGCACAGAAGATGCTGAGTACCAGAGGAATCCAGGGAGGGAGAGATGGTTGTGGGCTGAAACAATGAGGGAAGTCTTCATGGAAGTCTTCTCTATCAGCACGTCTGCCACAGCTGGGGAATAGGAATGCCCCCAGAACCCGCTTGGTGACCCCTCTGCCCAGATGCCTGGCTCAAAAAGATGGCTGGGGGACCAGGGCCGGAGCCCCAACTGCCATATCTCTGCTCCAGGCTGTATCAACAGGGAGGTGGGGAGAGGGGATATGGGTGTGCCAGGCATATCATAACAGAGTTATTCTTAGGACAATCATAAACATGATCAAAGAGTTAAGCCTTTCAGGAGTGACTGGCTTGGGAAAGGAGGAAAAGAGACTATATTCCCTAACTCATAAATACATACTTATGAGTGTATGTGTGTACAAATGGCTCCTGTCCATCCCGGCCAGCACCAAGCCCTTCCTCCAAAGATCCTGCTGCTGTAGTCAGAGAGGAGAGACAGCTTTTAGAGGACTCATGGGTGCTCATGACATTCAGGAGAAGCCTAGGTGAGAGGAGGCTTCAGGGCCGGTCTCCCGGGTAGGCCTGGCCTTCCTAGAGGAAGACAGACTCCTCTGTGCTAAAATGCCTTCCCCTTCCCTTAAAATTTTACACTCCACCTTCTACCAACTGAGAATACGTTTGGTTCATAAGCATCCTCTTTTAAAAGTTTAAATTCTTCTGGAAGAGCTATGGGGCTATCAGTCACTTACCTCTTAGGGTGCCATTGGATTGCTTTTAACCTAGCTGAAAGCTGCTGCGCTGGAGGGAATGGGAGTATGGGCTGATTGATCAGAGTGTGCTTGAAGGAGGAGGCAGCTGTCTGCTGGAGATCTGTGCTCCCAGCTGTCCTTCCGCTTGCTTGCTCCCTGGGAGTCCCACATGCTATTCACTCTTTCCTTAAGATGTCCTCGTAGCTCTGGTGGCCTTTGAGACAAAAATCTTTGTCCCCAATTGACTCACCTGGCTGGGATGCCAAATTCATAGTTATCTAATGCTGCTGCCCATCTCTGGCAAGTGTCTAACTTGGCACTGATCAAAGTTTGTCAGCAGATTGTTGTCAGACCACATTTGCAGTTTAGCTCCAGACACATAATCTATGAATTTTTCTGTGACAAAGCACTTCAAAGGCAAGGATTCCAGCTTATGTATGGCACACTGAGCTGTACCATCCCCAGGTCCTCTGCTGGGAAACACATTTGTTTTCTGGTGACCATCTCTCTTAGTACCAGACTTCTCACAAGCCTACCAGGCTGGCATCTACATGCAGGGCAAAGCATCCATAACATATTAGCTCCAAGGTCATAGAGCCAGGGTGTGGAATAAGTTAAGCTGCCCTCACTCCCAGTGCTCAAAGGAAGCCACCTGAACCGGTTCTGACATGATCTGTAGCTGGAGAGAGAAAAGAAGAGAGGGCAAGGAGAGAGACACCCCCTTTTTAAAAGTCTAGTGAGTTGACTTTTCCTTCTGAGTGGCCAATAAAGAGATTGCCTTCTCCTAAAGCACTTTTCAGCCCTAAATCACACAGGGCAGGAAGCAAGAGGGGCAGCTTTACACATGCTCCTCTGAGAGCCCCCTCTTGCATTTCTAATGCTGGAATGGTTTCATGTTCTAGAATACAGTAAGAATGCTTCTTATTGTGTGTATATGTGTTATGGTAAAGGCTTAAAACCTCCAGTGGAAGATGTTTTCCCACAAGTAAGGAGTAAATGACATGAGGTGGAGATGTGGGGGCCAGGGTTTCAAATGTGTCCTGGGTTGGCCCAGCTCTTACCTGAAATGTTCCTGGAGAGCTCCAGATAATATTCCTGAGTCTGACAAAGAGCCACTGGAATCAGGCAACGTTCAGTGTCAACTCTATATCTGTAAATATCTTGGAACTGTAACATTTGGTATCAAGGGAAGGGAAGGAAAAAGGAAGAAAACAAGCACTTACATAGCATCTCCTATGTACTGGGCACTGTGCTAAGCACTTTACAAGTATTATCTCATTTGATCCTCACAACCACCTTGGGAGGTAGGTGCAGTTGTTATCCTCATTTATACATGAGAACACTGAGGCAAACAGAGACTGAGTGACTTACCCAAGTCACACAGCTAGTAAATGTCTGAGGCTGGATTTGACCTCAGGTCTAGCACTCTCCACTGCACCACCTATCATTCATTACCTGTCAAATTAAGCTTGAATTCCATGGGTTTGGGGCAATTGGACCAACCTTGGGAATGTAGCAACCCCAACAACTATTCTCTTCATATGATGCTTCTCCCCTAGATAGTAACCATAGTCTGCACTGTATATAAGGCCAGATTACCTTTGTGGTTGGCTGTATAGATGAACTATGTGGCACAGTCGACTGCTATAAATGTAATAGTATGTGTGCTAATAGAGGTGATCTGAGAGGTGAGTAGTGGTCATTTACGTTTAGCTTTGGAATAGATCGGAATGTTTTTGGCAATAGATTTGCCTTCATAATTATATTTTTACTTATGCTAATAATAAAATCTGGCTACATTCTGAGTACATAATATTTAGAGGGGGGAAGTCAGGGAGTTGGGAATATGCTAGATGGTACACAAAAGTCAGATTAAAATTTAAAATTCCATGTGGGAATTCACATTCCTTTCCCTATGGGTAATCTACAAAGACAATAACTTATTTATGGCTGGGAACTGACTCATTTAAGGGAGATTTGGAACAAAAATCAAGGGTTTGAGAAAAAGTTAAAGTATTTGATACTTTTCAGGAATCTCAGGCAATATAAGAGAAAAGGTCTTAGAGGGAGACTAAGTCTCAAAGAGACTTTTGCACTAATTATTTTTGCTAATTTAAAATGCAAAAATAAAGTCTTATTTTCTTCTTTCTTTCTTTTTCTCTTAGCCAACAAGGGATGACCGGGGGTGGATTATCAATCCCATTGGACCCAATCCCTGGTGGACTGTGATAGCCGCAATCATCCCAGCTCTCCTCTGCACCATCTTAATATTCATGGACCAGCAGATCACGGCTGTCATAATTAATAGGAAGGAACATAAACTCAAGGTAATAAGAACGTTGGTCTATAGAGAATCCATGGGAGTCTCCTCATGTGAATATGTTGATTAATTTTAGTATGTGTGCATGCAGACTTCAGGTATTTTAGGATATGGTAGATAGTAAGGCTCCATAAAATTATGGGGGAACTGCCAATAACTGAAGGGATCTCACACATCTCTGGTTCATCAGTTGATGAATGGGTCCAGCTTTAAGATTTAGTGTATGGGAAGAGTGTGTGTGTGTGTGTGTGTGTGTGTGTGTGTGTGTGTGTGTGTGTGTGCCCAAGTGGTGTACCTGGCAAGATGAGAGAAAAGAACCTTGTCTTTATTGACACCAGTAACCTCTCAAAAGCCTGGAGAGATGGGGGCTTGATGACACGAACGTAGCCAAATGTGATAGTTGTTTAACATGTCTGACAATTGTTGATCTAACTTGTTGTATTCTTGAGCATTAGGTTAGAAACCTTGTGTTCTACTGTGTCCCAGCAGCAGTAATGATGGGTTTTCTGTGCTCAGTCTTAGTCACAAGGACCCTGAGGGGATAGGGCTCTCAGGCAAGGAACATACTGAGTCCTTCCCTTTTCTTTTTTTCTTCTCTCTCCATACAACAGGAAATAGAGTGTATTGTGGGAACAGACCTGGGACCTTCACCCCAAAGCCCTGTGTTAAGACTGTTCTGTTACGGATGCCACGTAAAACATGTGTCAGGGAGAACTCCCAGGTGCACAAAACTTGCTTTACCAAGACAAATTGGCACCTTCTCAGTAACTAAAAGGCTTAAAGCGAATTACTTGCCTGCAGTCACACAGCCAGGAGGAGTCAGAGATGGAACTTGAACCCAAGTCTTCTGGCTCTGAGGTCAATTCTCTCTACTCTACCAAAAGCCATGTTGCCTCTTCTACCCTATGTGACAAAGGCACAATTCTTGACATTTATTCCTGGCTTAGCTGTTAGTATTAGTTTTCCTACCTAATGCATCTGTCCTCTGGAAATGCAAAGTCCAAAGTGAGATGCCAAAGGGTGGGTGTATAGAGAAAAGGCCAAATGTAGGCAAAAGGCTTTGACAATCTGGATTTGGAATCAGGAGGTCCAACTTCATATCCTGTGATGATAGAAACATAATAATATGTTTCTGGCCCCTGAAAGTCCTGCCTGATTCTGTGATCATTTCTAGTTCAAAGTCTTTATTTTACAGATCAGGAAATTAAACTTAGGGCCAGTTATATGACTTGTCCACAGTCAAATGTATAGGAAGTAGCAGACTCTGGATTTGAACCCAAGTCCAGCTATGATTTGGATCCTTCCATATTTGTCGCAGACTAGGAAAGGGAACCATTATGACGGCTTTACTCTGGGAACCTTGGACCGAGGCTTTCTTACTGTTAGGCCCTGTTTAAACTTGGATCTTGCACCCTAATCCTACTTATATTGTAGTGAGGATGGCTCTAATGTCAGATGATGTCATGGCAGTGATTGCTTCTAACTGGAGATTATGTTTTCTCACAGAAAGGATGTGGATACCACCTTGACTTGCTGATGGTGGCTGTGATGCTGGGAGTTTGCTCCATCATGGGCTTGCCCTGGTTTGTGGCAGCCACTGTCCTGTCCATTACTCACGTCAATAGCCTCAAGTTGGAGTCAGAGTGCTCTGCTCCAGGAGAACAGCCCAAATTCCTAGGGATCAGAGAGCAGAGAGTAACAGGGCTCATGATCTTTGTGCTGATGGGCTGCTCGGTCTTCATGACAGCTGTGTTAAAGGTAACCAGAGAAAGTCGATCCTACTTGTAGGGGTAGAAACATGGTGACATTCACCTTTTATTGCCTAGACCAGGACCAGTCTAGCACTGGCCAAAGTACTTCCTCCTTTCCCTTGCCTCCTCTGCCAGGACCTTCCCAACCCCAGCCCCTTCCTCTTTACTTCCTATTTTTTTTTCCAGTGTTTTTGTCAATGACTTCAGTTAAGACCTAGACGATGCATCTATCATGTTTTCAGATGACGTGAATCTGGGAAGGATAGCTAATGATGAGATGACAAAGGCAGGATCCAAAAAGATTTCAATAGCTAGAATGAAGGGCTGAATCTAATATAAAGTGAAGTATAATAGGGATAAATGTAATATTCTAAACTTGACTTAAAAAGACAAAAACAAAAACAGAATCAAACTGCCTAAGTGTAGGATGGAGAGAGGTGCAATTCGTGGAAAAACAATCTGGGAGTTTTAGTGGAACACAAGCTCAACATGAGTCAACATGGCAACCAGCAAAGCTTATGGGATCTCTGTGGGCCTAATGAACAAGCTAATCAGAGGCTGTTAGAATTGAGAGGTATGATAAGTGCCCACATGAGAAAGACTTAAGGTTGTAGAAGGAAACAGGCTTCTTGCAGGGCATTAAGAGAAGCAGGAATCATTGAGCAGCCCCAGATGCAGGCAATACTCCAGGCTGTGCATGGGCCCACACCATGAACTTCTGAATCCAGCAGAGCGCTTGGCAGATTGCACTAACTGAGAATAAACACCTCCTGGGTATTCTGGACCAACACCCCCGATGCTCAGTGACTCCAAGACTCCTTCTTCTCCTTATGCTCCTCAAGAACTAGGTGGAAGGGTATTCACTAAGCTGTAAGGCTTACAGCCACAGAATGGAGGAATACAGCAAAGCTTATAACCTTGGATTGGGGACTCTGTCACTGTTTCAAGGTGAAATCCTCCCTAATTGGCCTTCTACAAGAAGCTGATAAAAGCGGGAGGCAGTGACATGGCTAATAGGGAAATATATTTTGTATGACTTCACATAGGGAAGATGAAAATGTTATTAACAGAAATAATGAAATTGGGACCAGCTAACCTAGATGTTCTATCAGTTTTAAAATGGTACTGCTGACTTTGTTATAAAATACTAGGTTTAATTATATGCCTTTTTCTCCTTTTGTCTCTAGTTCATTCCAATGCCAGTACTTTATGGAGTTTTCCTCTATATGGGAGTTTCTTCACTTAGAGGAATCCAGGTATAGGAATTTACTTTGCATTTTATTCCAAAGAAATTATTTTTTCATTGTCCACTCAGTTCTCCTAGTCTAGTAGGGCACTAACCCTCCTCCTGCATTCTTTTTTTTCAGTCTGGGCTCATATTTGGTACCAGGAAAAAAATCCTCAACAAAGTGCAAGGGTGTTTTTGAAAAGCTGTTTCTTGGTGTGGCGAGCTTATGGCATTAGATATTTCATGACAACAGGGAAGAACCAGGTAGAACAATGTAAGAATTGAGGTACACAGGCTGCCAAGGTGTCCTGATCCCTCCTGTAGAATAAACCCACCTTCCTGCATAGCTCAAGGCATACTCTGGCTGGTCTCCTGAGGGTCCCCTGACCCCGGGAAAACCTAGCTAAATCTCTTTGTCCCACTGTAGTCCTAGATCCCTGGGGCAGGCTGAGAGTCAAACAGACTTTTTCTACAAGGACAGAAATAAAATACCATTTGCCTTAATGCTAGACTGTCAGGGTAGGAGAGTTCAGGGGACGTTAGCATGTAGGGCACTGGGGAAGAGATTAGGGAGCTGTTATAGGTATGTGGACGGTACTCTGTGCCCCCGGCACCAAATCATGGCTTCTGCCTTTATTACCAACCAGCCACAGGCGCAAAGGCAAGAACTGGCCCAGAGGGCTCCAGGCTCAGAATAAATGATTTAGGTTTAAACTGGTGATCTGTAAAATGAGAGCTTGAAAGAGTCTCTCTGTTGTTTTGACCATTGGCTTCTCTTTCCTTTGATAGAACGTGTATTGGACCAAGCTCTGACAGAAATTACTATCACCTTAATTAGTTACTATCTGTGTGGTCTTAGGCATTCTTTTGAAATGTTAGTTTCAATCTTGTCATTTAACCTCTCTCTTTTTCTTTAATGTATCACATCCATTTGTTCTTTTTATGAGAAGTTATCTATGAAGTGTGTTCTAAAGTGAAAACCTCAGAGAAGAAAAATGTCATTTGGTTTCTAATGACACATAGAAAGATGTTACCACTTGATGTCTAAAGCTCCCTTAATGTTGCTTTGGGGAATGGTTGTCTTTCAGTTTTTTGATCGCCTGAAGCTCTTTGGGATGCCCGCGAAGCACCAGCCTGACTTCATCTACCTGCGCCATGTTCCTTTGCGCAAAGTGCACCTCTTCACCCTCATCCAGCTGACTTGTCTTGTCTTGCTGTGGGCTATTAAGGCATCCCCAGCTGCCATCATCTTTCCAATGATGGTAACTTTTTTCCTTTCCTTTACAGCAGTAATAGCATTGTCTGATTTCAGACTTGGGGGACAGTGGCTTCCTCTAACTGTTCTAGTTACCTAGCAAGGTTACCTAAGCTTTTCAGTGGATCTGGAGGGGTGAGGGAAGAGAAAAATGTTCATAATATACACATTGATGCAAAAAAATTTAGCTCCAATTATCTAAGATCAAGTAAAATAAATTGTTTCAATCAACAGTGATTAAAATGCTTAAAGTGAACAGCAGATTCTTAAAGCCATTAGGAAGATGGGACAGGGTAGAGCAATGGTGGTGGGGTGACTGAGATGACACCCTCCTCTGTTCCTCCTTCTGAAAAAGGGATGAAGGTTTGGGAAAGGAGATTAGAAAAGTTGTAGTTTCACAAAAGGAACTTTGGGATAGTTGGGGGAGGGGTTGGAGTGAGAAGCAGGCTATCCCTAAAAACCATGGCAATGGTAGGAGCCGAGGAGCGGGATCCTTGGTGTGGAAGCCTCTTTAGTTAGTCTGGCTTTTCTTGTCAGTTTCTTCTCTTCCCTCTCCTAGACCTGGTCTTGGTGGCAGAGGAGTTGATGTCTTTTTTAGGAGTGCTGAAAACTGCCTGAGTATCTTGAAAGCTGTACAAATGAGGCTTCTGGAGATAAAAATTAAGTGTTTCATTTGCTTGTTTTGAATGTTTTTCATCCTTAAGATGCTATCCTTAAGATAGAGTGTTGGGCTTGGAGGAGGAAAGTACTGAGTTCAAATCCTACTTCTGACTCTTACTACCTTTGTGGCCCTGGGCAAGTCACCTAACTACTTTATTGTCAATTTCCTCTTCCGTATAATGAGGGAGTTGGATTAGATGGACCCCCCAAGTTCTCTTATGATCCTGTCCCCCCACGCTCATATTGAGGAAACATGTTCACTGAATGACCTTAGCCAAGCCATTTACCTGTCTGGGCCTCAGCTTACTCATCTATAAATTTAGAGGATTAGCTTTGATGTCATTTAAAGTCCCTTTCAACTTGAAAATGTAATGATTCGTTAAGTTTCTTCCCTGCCCTTCCCCCAGCCAAGAGTAGCATTTCAAATTTTTACTGGTTTCCTTTCTCCTTTCCTGGTTTCTCTTCCTTTCCATTCCCTTTGAGCTTAGATCTGGGCTTTGTGACTTTCCCAGGGTGCTATTTTGGGTCACAAAACTGCCAGTGACTTACATTTGGGTGTCATGTGAGATATTGGAGGGTCTGGGTAAAGAAACAGACATTGCCTTGAGAAAGGCTACTGATCTTGGATGGGATGGGGAGATGGTCAGTGAACATGGAGAGAAACTAGATTATATTTCCTTAAACTGGAGACACCAATGGACTGTGTTTAGTCACATCCAGCCACCAGAGCTTAATGCTACTGTGAAGCAGCTACCTCTATAGCTATACCTAGTTCCCCCATTCTTGTTATGATACCTTTAGAAATAAATCTGAGCAGTACCTGGTCATTCTAATCTTGCTGTATACCCCTCCCAATTTGAGTCCCATCTCTCCATTCTCATGTGTCATATTTCTCTATTAAGTAAATAAAAATATTTTGATCCATTTTAGTGGGTCCTATAAAACAGATTTTGCTTTTTTAAGGAAGGTAGTGTCTGGAATGGAAATTGACTCCTTTAATACACATCCCTTTTTCTTCCATAGGTTTTGGCCTTGGTCTTTGTCCGGAAAGTCATGGATCTCTGTTTCTCTAAACGAGAACTGAGCTGGCTAGATGATCTCATGCCTGAAAGCAAGAAGAAGAAGCTAGATGATGCTAAAAAAAAGGCCAAGGAAGAAGAGGTCATAATCATTGTGTCAACTAGACACAATTCCCAAATGCAAAAAGTCCTCATTTCCAGAATCCCAAAGCTAGCACTAAGATAACTCCCAGAGATGTTATTTGCTAAGATTGGATTAAGGACTTTTGTCCCTTCTTGTCCTTCACTTTAGAGCTTTATAATCAAATCTGAAAAAAAAATACATCATCATCTAATAATATGTTGAATATCTGATTGCGCAGAGTTATAACTGAATAGACCCAGTCCCTGCACTTCAAATTTTTATAGTCTGAGGCAGACAGCAATGGTCTAGAGTGAAAAATAAATACTAAATCATAAAATTAGTGATTTAGTTTCTATATCAAATACAAATAAGCATAATCCATATGAGTGGCCAAGGTCACAGAAAAGAATTTGGCCTGTTCCCTTAAGTGGCTCACAAAGGTAGATGAACATATAATTAACAGAAACACAAAATTATGATTTTATAAAAGGATAAGGTTTTCCCATGGGATGTGGAATATAGACTGTGTTGGTTGGGGAATGGCCATGAAATGGCCATGCTTATGGGAAATTTCTGGGTCTAAGAAGTAATAACACCCCCTTTTTCCACAGGAGGATGAGAAAATGTTAGAAATGGGGCCAGACAAATTTCCTTTGGAGAGTAGGAAGTTACTGAGTAGTCCAGGAAAGAATAACAATTTCAGGTAAGATTATTTTAAAGCATAAAGAATTGGAGACTTTGAGAGCATTCCAGTCCCAGTTTTGTCATTGAAGGCCCTCTGTCTACTGTTACAAGGATTCAACCACCCTCTCCTGAAAATACCTTTTCCTTTCTTGATATAAAAATATCCATGCTCAGGATAGTCTTTTGAAAGTGGGAGGAAGTAAGTTGGAACTTAGCCAAGGCTGAACAACCTGTGATCTTGGTCACTGGGATAAATGTGCAGAAAGAGCCTGGATAACTGGAATGTCTGGAGAATCCTATACCCTATTTTCAGCCATTAGTTTCAGCTTCTAGGAGTTTCACCAGGACTTTTCCCCTCAGCTACTAATAGGAAGTCTGACTTACCCATGTTTTAGTTACAGCAATCTTATTTCTCACCCTATTTGAATTCCTCACAAGCAAATACATTTCTAGGAGCGGGAGGGAGAAACAATGGGACTGGGGAAGAGAAGACTTTAAGGGGATATGATAGATACCCTAAGATATCTAGAAAAGTGGATGTGGCCATTACAGGGGGAGCTGGAGATCAAATAGCATCTTAGCTCAGTATCAAAAAGAATTTTCCAACAATTTGAATTAATTATGGAACAAGACAATGTATGAGTTCCTGGTCATACAAAGTGTTCAATTAGTGGACCTCCCCTAACTGGGGCTGTTGTAAAGGGGATTTCTGCATTAGGCAGGAAGTTGAATAAGGGTGATGGCCCAGAAGAGAATGGGAGGGAAGAGCTCTCCAACTGTACCTTCTTCTGCCATATTGGACCACAGTGACGAGGGACATTGTATAAGGTTTTTCCTTTGGACAGTGAACGGGTCAGTCAGTCTTCTGGCCGGGGAATCTTCTAAAGCACCCCATTAATGGAATGGCAGGCTTGGGATGGCTGTTCTATTGGGACTCCTCCAGGGGTTAGGCTTATAACATGCTGCCCACCACTATGTTGGGCAAGAAGTGGCAGATTCATAGCCATCTTGTCTTCAATATCTTAGAAAACTTGCGGTTTTATCATTATGGGTACTTTCTCCACTAGTGCGGTCACAGCTCCTTCATATCTTAGTAGAACTTTTTGGCCAACCTTGTAGGCATCAACCTCTCCAAACTCAGCTAGACTGGTCCTTGGCCAAGAGATACCCAGTCCGTGTCTGCGCCCAAAAGTGAAAGCTTTGATTCACTTTGGTAGGACTTGCCCATCTGCTGGCATAGCCTTTGAAGACCCAGGTCACCTTCATGTAGCAATGTGTTGGTAAATTTTGAACAGCCAGCTTTCCAGGGAGGAAAATGCATGCAAGACACAGTTTTAAGTTTGATCTGCTTTATCAAGATTTTCGCCATTACTTTCTTAAATCTAGACAATCAACAAAATAATAAATCAAATTTGTTTTGTAGCATTTGCCAATTTCTGAGGTGTACATGTTCAGTTGATGAAAATTTAACAATTGGCTCATGTAAGCCAGTTAGAGTTGGCTCCAGCAACACCCCCGCCTCCACGTCATAAGGAGGGATTAGTTGAAGGTGATCTTTTCTTGGGTGTATTGTGGAGAGGATTCTCACTCAGGTATATATTGGACTATATTTCTGAGGTTCCTTAAAGCTCTAATATTTTTTGGTTTTATGGTTGGGTCTTTAAGAGTTGACTAGGATTAGATGAAATTACTGGAGAAGCATGAGAAATTGAGTTCAGCCAATAAATTCAATTAAGCACCTGATAGGCTCTGTGCTTTCTTCTGAAGATACAAAAAATGATACAATCCTCTGCCTTCAAGGAATTTACATATCTGCTCTAAGTTTTGTGAGACTTTGAGGGAGTCACCCATGATTTGAAACCTTTAGTGGTTAAGTGGGAATCCCTCAGTTTCCATTGGCTGCCCAAGGAAGATTTGTAGGATCATCCTAGAAGCTCCATTTAATCACCTACTTTCATGGGATTGTGTCTGACCTGTCTGAAGGAGCCATGGTCCTCTAGATCTCTCTTGGCTCCTGAGAACTGAAGCAACATGAAAGTAGAGTGACCTCCCAGCCTAACTCTCAAGACCATATTCCAGGGTCTCCTTTTGATACTGCCTACAACCCCGTGCAGTAATGGTGAACTTCTACTTTTTCCTCCACTGATGAAATAAGCTTCCAGATCCCTGGTAGTGAACTAGAGACATGATGTTAGCAAACTGCATTCAGTTCAGGGAAGAAAATGTGCTATTTGAGTTTAAAGTTTACTTCATTATCAGGCCTCCAGACTTTTCAGAAAGATGCTAGTCTTTTCCCCTCTGAGATTTTTGCCACAGACAGATAATAATTGCTTATTTGTGGACTAAGCAATCATTGTCCTAACTGTTGATTTCAGATGTGACCCTTCTGAGATTAATATTTCTGATGAAATGCCTAAAACTACTGTCTGGAAGGCTCTTAGCATGAACACAGGAAGTGCCAAGGAAAAGAGGTAAAGAGAATTGCATTTTTTCAGTTATTCCTGACCTGGTTTGTTTTGTTTTCATTGCAACTGTATGAATTAAAATACTTCTTTGCTTTGGAGGACAAAGTCTTAGCTGATGGTGCCTCCCAGGACTGCCCACAATGCCGGAGCACTAGGTGCTTTTACAAACAGATTCATTTCTGGGCTTCCCATTCATGCATTCCCAAATTCTGTATTAATTTATTTTGAGATTCAAGACCATTTTGCCCATTGGGATTTTGATAACTCTTTGTCTGGTTTCCATTTCAAAAATCTGTTTGTGACTTTGTCGCAGTGCTGCAATTACAGCATCTGCTTAACTGCTTGAAACAGTGGCTGTTTTGGGTAGCATAGGTATGATTTTTAATTTGATTTGTAACTTAGTAAAGAGATTGTCTACAAATACTGCAAATGGAGGATTTTCAAGTCTTAGAATTTTATCTTTTCCTACTATGGAAACAAAGTTCTGTGTATTTCATTTGTAGTTATCATGGCTTAATGTTAACTGGGTCAGTGAAGGAAACTAGAGGGCTCAAGGAATGGCTTTTTCATATGAAGGCTAGGTCTATACCCTTAGATTTGGGGAATAATTCAGTCCAAAGCCACTTTAAAAAATTTTCAAATAATTGAAGCCAAAGTAGTTTGGGGGCTTTATTATCTGGTTAATTGGCATGTGGAGATTCTGGGAGTCATATTGGAAATAATAGCTGACATTTATATAATGCTTTATAATTAGCAAAGCACTTTCACATTGGAGTCAAAGGACCTGGGTTCAAATTCTAGCCCTGCTACTTATTATCTGTGTGTTCTCGGGTAAATCAAAAAGATTAAGACCTTCCAGTTTCCCCATCTGTTTACATGGCTTCTTTCCCCAGTAGAATGTAAGCTCCTGGAGGGAAAAACTATTTTTCATTTTGTCCTTGTGTCCCCAGTGCCTCAGATAGGTGCTTAAACAAATGCTTGTTGAGTTGTGATGAGATGTAAAGACAAGGCATCGGGCCTGGTGATCTCTAAGATCTTTTCCATCTCAAATGATGATCCTGTGATCATATTCAATTTGATTCTCACATCAATCCTGTGAGATAAATAGTGCAAATATTGTTATTCCTCTTTTACAGATAAAGAAATGGAGGTTCAGGTCAAGTAATTTGCTCAAGGTCATACAGATAGTAAATTTTAGAACTAGAAGTTGACCCCAGGATTTGTTATTATACCACCCTGTCTAATGGAAATAATCTGGATTGGTCAGATGGCCTGGGTTCTAATTCCATCTTTGCCCCTGAGTGCCTATGTAGTTTTAGACAAGTTGCTTAGCTTCTCTACATCTCAGTAAAATAAGGATAAAAATCCCTTGCCTACCAAATAGCATTGTTTTGAGGATAAAATGTGAAAAGTCCAAAGACCTATGATGATTCTTTCATTGAATGGGTTAAAATGAATGTGAGTGAAATGTAGAATTTGGTTTCCTTCAGAGGAAAATCCAGACAGCTGTTGAACTGTTTAACGCACACAGTTATTTTTAGCCAAGAACTAGTCTCCTTGTAAATTGAACTTAAAATATAGCAGGATACAAACTGTTGGTGACATCTTTAAAGTATTGTGTTAAAAGCAGGAATGAATCATGTGTTCTCTTTTTTGGCTAATGGTAATACTTTTATTCAGTCTTTTCAACTAAGAATCTTTGCTGGGATGGAAGAGATGTCCTGGGAGGTAACTCAGGGAAGCGCCGGGAAACAGAGAAGGGAGCAAGTTTCTTAGAAATGAAGAGACTCATCCTGGCCCCTTCTTCATTCAGATAACTGGATTCATATTAAAGCCACACAGAAGTGTTCAGTTATTTCCAGTGCGCTTTAGAGGACATTCAGCCATCCTTATACCAGCAGGCAGTCTCCAAGTGTAAGCTTGGAAGGAAACAGAAGAAAGCCTCTTGGTCATCTCTCTCCTCTTCTTCCTCCTCCTCCTCGTCCTCCTCCTGCACCGACCTCAGAGCAGTTGCCACCATTTACCATCAAACGTTCCATTTTGGGGCAATTCTGAAATTCTTTCCTTGCTGACCAGTTGAACACCATGAATCTTCTCCTCAGCTGCTGAAGAGTCCCATCAGCCTCTGATCGCAGCCTCTGCTGCCATGCTGTACCACGATAATGGGCAGAATGAAAAACGATAGGGGTGGGACACTGTACGAGGTTTCCTCGCTGGACAGTGAGCAGGTCAGTTCTCTGGCCTGGGGACCTTTTAACGGAGTGGCAGGCTTGGGATGGCTGCTCTAGTGGGACTTCTCCAGGGATTGGGCTTCTGACATGCTGCCCACAACTGCGGTGGGCCCAAGAAGGGGCAGATTCATAGCTCCATGGCCACACCGGCACACATGTCGATAATCTTGGAAAGTAAAAATTTGTAAAGGGGAATTGAGGTTCTTTATAACTGAGAAGAGAAGGCTGAGGGGGAAGGTGATAACTGTCTTCATTATTATAAAGGGAGATTATTTAAATGATGATGAGCAGCTCTTCTCAGATTCCACTGAGGACGGAATGAGAGAGACAGATTGAAGTGCGGCAGAAGAGACTTAGGTTAAAGTCAGGACATACTTTCTAGACATAAGATTTGATACAGTATCTCTTTTTTTGGGTAGATTTATGAGAGAAGAGTAGGTAGTTACCTTTGGGGAAAGCTCTTTGTAAACCTTACAGCATAATCCTTCCCATAGATAGGGAGAGGTGATCTCTCAAGGCTCCTCCAGGTTAGGGGAGTCTGCAAAAATAATTTTACTACCACGTTATAGAGACTTCAGTGTCTTGCTGCTCTCCATTCATTACTGCTTCGTGTGAGCACATTCTGGTGCCACCTCTGGAGAGATTCAGTGTTTGTGTAAGTCACCCTAGCTGCCTTAGTAGCAAACAACTGTAGGCAATGGACAGAAAATACCTTCAGTCACATAGTGTAGGCATCATCTTGAATTTCCACTAGTTTACCAAAATTCAGGCTTTCACATCTCGGATACAAAAATATCATTGGAAACAAAGCTGAAAGTGGTGAGATGAATTTTAATATTTAATTTAAGATCAATATTTATAGTTAGTCTGTTCTCTCCTTTATGTTTAAAAGCGATGTCAATTGTTTTTACTCTAATGCTTTTGGAATTGATCGTCAATTGCTCACAGAATGTATTGGAGTAAAGGAAAATCACACCAACAGTCTATAGAGAATTTGCTTGTATTATACACAGGGTATTCTAGAACTGATAGGCTTTGTATGGTGGTGGTGGAGGATGGATGGGAAGTGGGCACCTTTAATGGTACAGAAGAGGCTAAGCAGCCTCCCCCCTGGCCACCCGTGGCTTTCTCAGGTGAAGCAGGTTGGGGCTTTCCCCCACCCATCTGGCTTTCCCTTCAGCCCTCATTCTGCTTTCCATCAGCCTCTCCCTCCCTCCCTCTCCCTCCTCTCCTTTCCTTCTTCCATACCCCTCTTCACCTTCTCCATGGACAAAAGGACAATACCCTTGACAAAAGCATCTTCTTACAAATAAACAAAAGGGGGGAGATACCATATCTCTCAACAAATGCCTGGTTCAGATAGTTGGGTCCAGTAAGCAGGCACCTGGCTTCATAGTCAAGTTCAAGTAACTTCAACTCTTTCAGAAGTTACTTTGAAAATCTATCTCACACTTATATTCACTAGCTAATTGCTCAGATGAGTGATCTTTCCAAAAGAAGCTGGTCCAAGTGGACTCAGAGATCTTTATGCAGTGAGTGCTGATGCAAATGATTCATCCAAATTTTTTTTAAAAATTGAAGAGTCCAAAGGCCCCCAAAGGTATTGCTTTAAAATATATGTTATAGCAGTATATTTTTTCTCTGTTCCTGATGTGCTTTGGGGGTGGGGGTGGGGACAGGATTGGTAAACACGTAGGAGGGGGAGGAAATTGGCTGACCTCTTTCTCTTCCATCCTTTTTAATTGTCCTACCATTCTGATCTCTTCTTCTCCCTTAACCTCTTCTTGTCGGTTACACAGGATGGAACATATCAGGAGAAAAGCACTCAACAAATACAAAAACCCGTGTCTTTAGAGAAACGCCTCTCTTTTAAGGCATCAATAATTTATCTTCTTTTGGACTTTTGCATGCTACTCGAGACCAGAAAATGTATCTTTGCTTAACTTTATCTAGTACAACTTCAAGACATGTAGGTATTTATGGAGCCAGATCCTATACCTTCTTCTTTCTCATCCTCACCGAGATCAATCCCAACCCTAGCTTCTTTCCAACTCAGGTTGGTGGAAGTGGTGGTATAAGATGAGTTTACTGTTGGGATGAAGAGGGAGAAATAGGGAAGAAGATAGTTCAGGAAGAGGAAGAGAATATGGATGTATGGCAAGAAAGAGAATGTGTCTATAAGACCATCATCAGCACCATTTAAAAACAAAACAAACCAACAAAAAACCTTCGTTAAGCACTTTATAATAGTCCATGACTATTTTTTTTAAAATAAGACTTAGAAAATATGACTTTTCTCTCTGTGTAAAGGTTTCCTAATTTCAGATTGAATAAATTGAGGGCAAGCAGAAACAGTAGCATTTTTGGGCAAACACATAAATAGACAATAAAAGTGAACACGTATTAAGGGTAAGTTTCTGTTTTGGGGGGTGAAGAGCAACTTAGGGAAGTAGCTAACCATTCCCAGAGCAGTGAGACAAAGAGGCAGTCATTTTCTAATTGGCTGGGAAAACTGTGGAAGGAGAAATTTCAGGCATAAATTGGATGTGACAGGTTGGTGATAGAGTGGTAAGAAGGAAGGAGGCCCATCCACTCTTACTACATTTTGAACTTCTTTAGGGGACCACATCTTAATTATCTCTCCTCTAGCCTGATACAGTAGGCTGGCCTGCACATAGCAGGCACTTAATTAATGCTTCTTGTATGTATGTATGAATGAATGAATGAATGAATGAATGAACAAATGAATCAGTGATTGAGGAAAGCAGGACTAAATGCATTGCCAGTAGTAGGGGAACATTTCTCACCTCTTTGAGGCTCTAGGGAAGATGGCAAGATTGGGTGTTCAGGTAGGTGATCATTATATATATTGTACTTGTAGCTGTATGATATCACCCCACCCCCTCCAATAACATGTTTGTATCAGGAGAAAAGGATTTTCCTTTCCCCCTTGTATCTAACCCCATATTAATTCAACTTGTTTAGAACTTTGTTTTGGGGAGGTCTGTGAGATAAAAAGTGAACAACATACCCCATAAAAGATAGTTTGAATTTCCTTTGTCAAATACTCAAAGGGATCTTTGATGTTACCAAATTTGGACATTCTCTCGAACAATGCCGATTGAAATCCATGCATGAAGTCCATCTTTGTCCTCCCATAAATTTGTTCCCAGGAGTCCACCCAAAATGCTGAAGACCTTCTTTTATTCCCCCTAATGACCTTGAAACAACTATTGTCGTTCCAGGCTACCCCCATGCAACAGTTCATGTTCATAGTCTTGACAGGATCTTTCATCTGAGGGATTCTTCCGGGGTCCTAAGCTGGCCAGCTGAGACATATCCTAGGGCTTACTCATCCACTATGCCCTCAACTTTTCCAAGCTTCTCAGTAGAGCATTTGAAGTTTTTTCTTGAGCCTTCTCTGCTGATTTACACCTCTGTTTTCTGTCAGTCTTTCAGCCCTTTCTGGAGGCAGAAGTTTCCTGGCCTTTCTGACGTGCTATGAGACACTTAGCAGGTTTCTGTGCTTCTCGTGTTCCTCACTTTGCTGACCATGGGTTTCAGTAACTTCTCTTGGGCTTTTAAATGGTTGTCTGTGTTAGATGTTTCAAGGTATGCAGCATCTCAAGGCAACAGCTTAGCCAGAGATTCAGTAACCCTCGCCAAAGTCTCCATTCGCGTCAACTTTATTTTGGTTTTAAGTCTCTCAGGCCTCCTGTGTAGTAGAAGATTCCTTAGATCATAAGCTGGCAATTCACAATGTTTTTTTCTCTCCTCCGATGTCTACACTTTTAGCTTTTCTAAGTTCTCCTCTTTCGGGGCTGGGGTGGGGAGAAGATTTGTAACCTCATTTCCCTTCTGCCTTTCTTCATTCTCTCATGGTCGTCATAGGTCCTTAAATAATTTCTATGCCAGAGAAAGTGGGAACCAGAGGGGCAGCAAACCTAACAAAAGAGAGGCAATACTTCTCAGTCCTACTTTGGGTCCCGACGACTAGCATGGATGATACCATTCATCACCAATGGGGATGGAAGGAGAGCAAGGAGAAGTTGAAAGTGAAGGGGAGAAGGGAAGGGGGCTGGGTAGGAAAGCTCAGTGGCTTTCCAGCTCCTCCAGAAGGAAGTCATAACAATAAAGCTTCATTATTTGGTGTGGTGTTGTGAATTTGTCAAATATAAAAACAAAAACATTCCAAAATTAAATGATTTTTTTATCTGCTTTTTATGATTCTGTGCCACTTGATTCCCCTAGTTGAACACAAAATGGACAATTGACTCTATTACCACTTTTTAGCTTAACAGAAGGGTGAAGACCAAACAAGGGCTAAAGTAATGACCTCATTAGGATTTAAAAGGAGGGAAGCGATCTGGGAAGTCAGCAAGAATTGCGGTGACTTACCACAGGAACAGCCCTTTTGGATTTGGTAGTTCAAAAGGAGTAAACTGGACTAGTTTCTGGCTCTTCTAAAGAGAGTTGAAACAGCCTCATCCCAATCCCCTCCCAGCTCCAGAGGACACAGAGCTCTTTCTAATCAACAGCATTCACATTTCATCAGGAAAAAAAAAAAAGCCACTTCAACATGCCTGGGAAATCAGTGGTAACAAACATGGCTTGGGTCTCTCTGAACAGATTTTTAGCTTAAGCCAACTCATGGTTTCCTCACACACATGATGACATTGGAAACCAAGATGCCAAACTGCAATGAGCATGAGTTCTTTCTGGAAGACGAACTGAAATTCCACCCCCCTCCTTCCTTCTGTGCTCAGCCCTCTGAGGGTGGGTTTCCTCTGTCTGTCTGTCTGTCTGTCTGACAAAATGTCTGTTCTTTCATGCTGATAATGTTTAAGTGAAAAGCAGAGCAATCCTTCACTACGGAAAGGAAAGATAAAGGTGCTGGCACATTTCCCCCCCCCTGCTTTCTATGTTCTTTCTAGTCGGCTACATGTAGGGATAGAGATATTTTTGTTTTAAAGATTCCCAAATATATTTTCTGTTGCGTGAAATGTAACCTCTCCACACTCAAATGGTGTAAATAAAATGGAGGACAACTATGTAATTGTAATGTGCTCATCAAAGTCTGTGTTAGAAATAGGCATTGTTTCCCACACCTGTGTCATCTCATAGTCTGTGTCTGTGTGAGCCAGTGTTTGTGATTCTGAAGCAACCGGAATTGTATCTGTCCTATCTCCATCTTGCTTGCCTCCTAAAGGTAAAAAATAAATGTCTGTGTAAACAGCCACACCACTACTGTTCTTTGACAGAGACCAAATGATCATAGATTCAGAGTTGGAAGGTACCTTGCTGTTTGGTTTAATCCTTTTATATTACGAATGAACCTGAGACCCAGAGAGATTTTTTTTATGCTTTTTGGTGCGACAATTAGGGGTTAAGTGACTTGCCCAAGGTCACACAGCTAGAAAGGGTCAAGTGTCTGAGGCCAGATTTGAACTCAGGTCCTCCTGACTCCAAGGCCAGAGCTCTATCCACTGTGATGCCTAGCTGCCCTGCAGAGAGATTTAGTAAGTGGCCCAAGATCACACAATTAGTAATTGCCAGAGGCAGGAATTCAAACCCAGCTCCTCTGACTTCAAATCCAGTACTCATCATTTGTGGTTACTACCCATGTTTTGGTGTGTGGGAACAGAAGGATTAATTAAGGACAAGGAGAATGCCTGGTATTAAAAAAAAAAAAGGAATGGTCGGTCACACCCAAAATATCCAACAAGTACAGAATTCTGGTCTAAATGAAGGGTTGAAAGAGGAGGGCCCAGGGAATTCAGAGGAAAGAAGGATCATTTCTTCAGAGACTTCCTAATTGACCGGGGCCCTGGTACCACAGCCAACTGAACCCTATTTTCTTCCACCAGGAAGTCCTAGGACTTGATTCACTCTAATGCCGCCTTCTGGTTTCTTGCTGCCCAATCTAGAGCTTGTCCTTAGAGTCTGCTGGCCTAGTCTGGATTGGGTGTTAGCTCAAACTC